ATACAACAATCACGTCTACACCCTCTTTGCTCTAATTGTTTATATTTCGAAACAATCATATCTCGTGGAAGAAATATTTGATATTCCTCTGTTCTTCTTTCATTTCATTCGATCACGTAGATCATGATATCTTCTCTACTCACATAAGTATTCATAGATAAATGATAATCTATTACACAACTGGGTTTTTTTCACTTATAAATAAAATACAAAAGTGTATAAAAAGATTCAGAATAACATTTACTTCTACAAATTTTAAAGTAAGTAATATAAATATTTGAATGATATTTTTCAAGATTATGGAACTTCCGTTCGTTAGTATTCTACACCGTGTTTTATTCATTTTTTGTCAAGTGTTTGTGTGAGGAGCATGAACTGTATATGATATTGATTGCTCGGCCTAAATTCTTTCGTTATTTATATAGTGATCCTAAACAATTGACTGATTTTCTATTATAAATAATCATTATTTTTATTTAGACTACTAATGGATAACGATACAATTTTTCCTGGCTTATCTGCTGATGAGAGAATTGTAGGTAAATACATGGGTGCTGAACGTTCTCAAGTGAAGAAAGTAATTGTAATTCTTACTAATTTTCGGATTCTTATTCGTTGGAAAGAAATGATTTGCTGTTGCTTTGCTCGTTCCTCTTATTCTTCAATAAGACTCGATTCAATTGATCGCATCGATGATACACGTTCCAACGAAAATCTAACAATTTTCTTCATATTCATGTTACTTGGAGGTATCCCTTCCATCATATGTGGGTTTATTTTCAAACTAACATGGCTTATACCAGTGGGCATAATAATTACCATCGTTGGTGTGCTAATCTTCATTTCTGCATGGTTCTGTAAGAAAAAAATATATATTACATTAAAAGGTTCTTTTGGTTCGGAAACAATAGTATTTAAAAAAACGATTGCTAGAGAATTTGAAGGACAATTAAGTAAAATGATCCATCAACGATCAATTCAATGCTTTATAGAACAAAGTGAGCATGATGGATCACGTTCATTACCGGAATCATCAGCACCGAGACACATTATCAGAACTGCGATGAAGACTGGAAATACATATGGTTATGAACTTTTACAAAATGTTGCATAAAACGATACATCGTAAAAACATTTACATTTTTTATTAGATTAAATTTTTCTTTTATTGATTATATGAAAATTAGTTATGATTTATTCTAAATAAACAGAAGGCATGAATATGAAACTAAAATTGATCCTTTTATGTTATGTAAGTGCAAATGAACAGAAGAGAGAGATTAATGATTTATTGTAAAATTTTGATGAATATGAAAAATATTCTATGCTTTATCTATCAGTGTCTATTGCATATTTGTGTCATCAACTTAAATAACTGTTTAGATATAAGATAACATACATCAATAAAAAAACATGTGACATGAATTGTTCTTTATATACGTGATTTAGTTTACCTATTTTATACAGACTGTGTGTATATCGATCATGTCAATGTCTAAATAGAAATTACAAATACTCGTAGTACTGAATTATCTTTCATGGACTATTTCGATCGTAATTGATTATATTTTGCATCGTTTTTTTTAAAATCATTATTCAACCGACAAAATTCGAAATTCCAATGAACAATAAGTGATAGTAAAGATGAATATTATGCCATTATTATTAGTACAGGTTTTTCCAGTTTAGGAATGGATATTAAATTAGAAGAAATGAATATGATTAAATTTTTGATATGAGAACGTCATTCACATGTTCGTGTTGCATGATATGCGAATCGATATCCTGGGTGTGGGTGTGAGTATCTGTTCCTTATTCCATCATCCCACACCCACACCCACACCCTCATTACATTTTATACCTCAGTTCAATTAATACTGCAATTTTATTTATTTCTACACATTAATAAACGAAAATAAACAATACAAAATTAAGTATCACAACATATTGAGTTCACTCCGAACAATACTCATAACGATAATAAGCAATAGTAATTTCATATTCATATATAAACAAGAACAACTTCACTTACATATTGACATAGAAATAATTAAGATTGATTTCACTATGAAAATTGTAAACAATGTTGAATTATTAAGTACCGACAATCGTTCTCATTTGTATTGTGCCTTGTACAGCTCGATTGACAGGCATCACTGTGCTTATTATGCGTAAGTTCAGAAAAATATTTTTTAGTTGTGGAATAGAAAAAAGTAATGCTACACTCAGTCCCATTTGAGATATGCTGACTGGAAAGTATGAAATTCGAACAAGTAATGGATGTTCTTCACCTGTTATTATGAACATAATTACAAGAACAAATCCAGGCATTCCAAGAATAAGCAGTAAACTAACAATAATTAAAATACGTCGAATAATAAGTAAATCGCGAACTTGTCTTTGTTTGATTACTAATGTTTGCGTATTTCCTTGCTGATGAATAAATCTTGTTATATGTATATAAATGAATAATAAACAACAAAATGGACACATATAGACAACAAACGCTGACGAAAGAACACCAGGAATATTTGTGAATGATATAGTACAAAAGTAATCATTTGGTAAATATATCATTTCATTCAAAGGTATAAAAACACATAGAGAAATAGATGTTAGCATTAATATTTCTATAATAGGTAACATTATATATAATTTTAAAGATTGAAATCGTCCATTTTGAAAATAAGCAATTCGAATAAGACGATAGAATGCCTAGAATTATTCAAAAAACTATATAGAAGTTTTCTAGTTTCTCTTATTTCGAATTACCTGATTTACAAAGGTCATGTACAACATACCAAGCATCACAGAAGCTAAATATCCTGAAAAAATACACCATGATGAATCAAAAGACTGATCATACAAATCACCCAATATTGATCGAACATTCATTGATATTAACATGGATGAATATATAAAAATTTCTAAATATATGTGAGCACAAAGAACAACAGTTATTTTATCTTCACGTTTGACATGATTATAGTAAAGATGATACATAATAATAAGAAAAATAATACATGATATCAAACATGTAAATGTATTAAAGCCAAGAGAAACCGAACTAAGTATAAAACCATTTGTTTTAGTTTGATTATTAATCATAGTAGAAGTTTGTATTGAATTCGATTAATAAAATAACTAAATGTTTTTTCTAAACAATAATTAAAATGCTTGAATAAACAATATAAATGTACATAAGAGAAACCTTATGCGTAGAAACAAATTTCATTCTATGTAAAACCTTATTAAATCGCAATAGTTGGATTATCTCTTATTAGCAAAAATTTGTTTTTTTCTCAATATAGATTAAAAATAAAATAATGATATATCTCAAATAGAAACAATTATTTGTTAAAACTCCTATTTTAAATGATTATTCTTTAACTATACTGTGAAAAGAATTTCGATGTAAACTTTATGGATATTTAAATATATTTTACTTTAGTCAGTTGTATATCTCAAGAGAATAGAATACTTTTACCTTCACAATTATTACAAACTGAGATTTTTATCATTCTTTATGGTAAAAAAATACAAAAAGATTATTTTTCTCAACATTAAATCATATGCTTGTGCTATTTTACACAATTATTATGAAAAAAGTCTATAAAAAGATTAATTAAGATTATTATTCTTTATTCGTGACGTACCGATTACTTTCTGCTCGTGTAAATTAGTTTAATTATGATTTGACATAAAATATAAATACATAATCGTATCTGTGAATGTATGAGATGAGACTTATGATGATCTTTACGTTTTAAGTAGAGAGTTTTCTAATATATTGTTAGTCTATGTGATCTTCTTAATCTCATGCAGCAATTTACTATCGGCTATCATAGTTTTAAGACAATATTTATGTTATTATTAACAGGGTTAAACGATGATCCGTTGAATTAATATATATATACACAGAGAGAGAGATATTTATTTCAATTTGATGTAATATTGTACAAATGTTATATCAAAATAATATTAATTTTCTATGATAGTAACAGAACAATAGAAAGGTCAACTGAAATGAAAAATATATATTTCTAATAATAATAGTATTAATGGTACTCAAGAATTAAATCAAAAAACAAATTCATGATAGATAAATAATGATAAATTTTATCAATAACATTTTTATTAAATGATAATCTTCAAAGATCATTTAGGCAAATAATTTTTGATATTCTTATACATATCAAAGACTTATTATACTATGGAATGATGAAATTAATCCATACAATAAAAACGAATTTAAATATATAGAAAAATAGTATCTAAACATTAGCATTATATTGTCTTCGAATAGTTGTTAATTTATTAATCGAAAAATAACGAATAAAATTAATTATTGAAGTAGAAACAATATCAGTTTTAATCTGAGTTAAATATGATGACGAGGAAGTAAGTAGAAGTAAATAAAGCTGAACAGTTTAATCGAATATAGAATAATAATCCAAAAGAATCTGTTGACTTACATTTGTAAGATGTTGTCATTGACCAACTCGATTGATGAAAGTAAATGATTCTTTCATATTAATATAGTTGATATTGAATTAGTAAAAGAAATTCAATTAAAGAAGATACTTTATATTTTCATTTTTAAATTTTTAATAATATTCCCGTGTCCCGAAGGAAACAGGAGTGGACCAAACTCAACGGCACTGCAGTGTCGAGATGATCCGTGGCACAGGTCCGAGTGAACTCGGGTGATCCTGGCCGATGTCCAAAAATCCGCTTGAAAGAGCCTGGCCTCAATGAGACCAGCGCCGGCTTTCAAACCGACGAGAACAGATACTACACTTTGATCTTAGCCGAAAAGGCCGAGAAGCGATAACTAAACACACAATTTCAAGGTTCTTTTCTTTCCTGTGTCCACACACATTTCATTTTTTCATACAAGAGAAAGAAAGAGAATCAGTTATTCTTTTTCGAGAATTTCGACATCATTATCTAGGAGTCATAGATAATGAAGATTTCACAAGAACGAAAAAAAAATATCACATAATCTAAGAATAATAGTGGAGTGCACAATATTCGTTCCTGTTCTTTACGATTTTTATCAATATCATGTTTTTACCTTTGATTTATAGAAAAATGTTGCTCTGGCAGACTAGTGTTACCACCAGTCCGCATATTATCGTCATCGCGACATGTATTTGATCGGGAAAGATCTTTACCTCTTGGTAAGTTGTAATAAGCAACTTTTCTCGATACCCCTGAAAACTCGACATCTACTTTGTCTCTATATATATCATGTTAAGAGACAGAAAAGAAAGAATAGAATGTGTAAAGACAAAGCAGATGTCGTGCTCTGTGGGCGATCGAGAAAAGTTGCTTATTACAAACTTACCAAGAGGTAAATGATCCCAGTCGATCAAATACATGTTGCGATGACGAAATTGTGCGGATTGGTGGTAACACTAGTCTGCCAGAGCAACACTTTTTTTTATAAAATTATCAAAAGAAATCGTATCAATTATTATCATTAATTGCCTATACGTTTTAATATGCAGATTACTTAGAAAAATATCTTTACGAGACAGCGTTGTCAATAAAGACAATTTATTGTTTATATCTGAAAAAGTATATTGTTGTGAAATTCGAAAGTAGATGTTAATCACTCTACTAATTTCAAATAATATCTGCCTATCATATCTTCGATTTAAATTAAAAATAATGAAAATGATATAATGAAGAAGAGTTTTGTTGATTTCTAAAGAGAAAATATTTTAATAAAAGAAACCTGTCGACGAAAAATGTTTTGAAAAGATTAAGATCTTCATTTCTATACGTGATTTTAAATCTATGAATAGTTGAATATCATTCAAGTGAGAAACAATCAAATATTTCTCTGTTTTTCTTTGAATCGATTTATATAAATGTAATGATCTAACGAGTGAAAAACTTTGCATCTTTAGAATTATATTGGAACAAAATGAACGATTTTTTCTTAGTCGTTCCATAAAAGGAGGATTGTATATCTGTGTTCAAGAATATTTTTACCAATTTGATTAATGATTAAAAAAAAAAACAGCAGTAGATCAATCAGTTGATAATTTAAACATAAATCTAAAACTCACTTTCTAATAGAAGAATTCAGGATGATAAGTTAATTATTATTCATTGTGGAATTATATACTGGTTAGATATCATTTCTCACTGAAAATACTTCATTCTCTGATATGAAAACTGCTGCTATAGTATTATCAATGATGTCATGATGTAGAACAAATAAGTTATTTTTGTTTTAAACATCCCTTTTCTTAAAATATAAGTTTAATTATTATACATAGCTTAATTCATTTTGAATTATTTAAACAAATATAAACGGAATATTACATAGTAAGATAGTAATCGCATACACGTAAATAATATTTTTTTACGAATAACTTAATAATAAAATGAATTTTCACCATTATTTGCATAAGTCACCCAATCATTTTTGATCCGTAAGTAAATTAAATATTTTTTCATCTTAGCGTAAAAAATATTTTATATTGATAAAACAAAAAGGGCACAATATAGTACTTGTAGGTGTACATTTTTTTTCTGTTCTTCTAATGTTGTTGATTCATATAAGTGTATATTCATTTTTCATTTCTACTTTCCTCTTGATCGTAAATATTTCTTTTCTTCTTGTGCGTACAATATATAAGAATTCGTACATTAGTTACTAATCAACAACAAACGTATTTTTTAACAACCATCTTATGTAAATATAAATACTCTTATATTAAAATAGATTTATAAATAAATTTTTTCATTATACATTCATAACGTATCCATATGCTGGTATATAAAAAAAACGAACGACAAGTACGAACAACTGCTCGATTAAATATAAAATTATCTATATAAATTAATTACATTTATTTTTCTTTATAAAACAAATCTCATCTTGATTTATGGCATACCAAATACATCGTAATTCAATGGAACATTTAGAACTTTATGATTTAGATAAATTAGCAATCTTATCAGCAGCAAATAATCAATTGTCTCCACCTATACCAGCACCTCGTAAACATCGACGTCATTTACCATCAACAAGTTCTACTTTCGAACGTTATCAATTTTTATGCGATATGACACGTCATAAAATAGATCCTATTTATGCTGCTACACCAATATTCACAACAATACCCCAGTCAATACATGTAAACCACCGTCGACGATTACTTGGCTGTCGTATACCTGCAGAAATCATTAAACCATTACCAAATAATTCACCTAATTCATCAAAATCAAAAAATGCTGAAACAAATAATGATTCAGAAGAAGAGAAAGAAGAAAAAGAAAAAGACGAAGAAGACGAAGAAAAACGTAGTGATGAAGATAATGATCTAAGTGTACGTGATGATGACGATGATGATGATGATGGTGGTGGCGAGGATATGAATCAATCCAATGGTAGTAGTAGTAGTAGTAGCAATAATGATGATAATGATGATGACGATATTCTCAATGATGATGATGATAATAAAGGAATCGTAGAACAAATATTCAATCGAGATAAAAAGTAAAATTTATTTTTGTTTTGTAAATAAATACATTAGAAAAAAAACCTAATTTATTATTTATTTTATTTAATAAACTTAATATGTCATTTATACAAATTATTCTTTTATTTGAATAAATATTTGATATTGTAGATCAACATCGATGAATAAAATTTAATTTGATTTTTTTTCTCTCTATTTTTACTAATGATCAAGCAAGTTTCTTTTGTACTGAAAATATACTATCAAACTTTTCATCTGTTCTATATATTAATTTCACTAGTATTAGATTACATTCGTTTGCTTGCCTTTTTTCTTACATTATTTTAAAATAAAACTTTCATTTGTTTGAATGAATATAGATGTTGATAAATAACGTTGCTAATATTTAAAAAGAAAAAAGTTGCATTAGATTGCAAGTCATTGTATATGATATTTTATATTTCTTGACTTCTGTATCAACGTTTATAATATATGATCCTGGAATATCTATTCCTCTTGTATGTATATATATATATTTTGTCTTATAAGGCATCTTTGTCCTTGGGATACATAATTATATAGGGAAAAAAAAACCGAGTTGCGTCTCATACGTCACTATATTCTGTGAGATAAACGTATATATAAATAAAGATTGATACCGTTTGTTATTTTTCTTTTGATTGTGGTTGTTTTTGTTGTTGTCTTGTTTTTCTTTTATTAAATATACAAATATTAACTAATTTAAGTATTTTATTTTACTTAGAATATTCTAATATTTGAAACTAAAAGGATTGGTATTTATATTTATTTATGGATTAATTTTTCTTTGAAATAAATGATAAATATCGAATGAATCATATATATTATTGTTAAACAACAATTTATATTCTTTCATCATATCTTTCTATGCACAATACGCCAAACAATTCAAGATAGACAATCCAAAATGTATAAGGAAACGAGTATCTATATGTATATATATATTCAACTACGCATAATGATGTGTTCTGTTTCCTTTTCTACTAATCGACATCCCACCCATTTGGTTCTCAACAACACAACTCAAATAACGGTGCAGACAACATCGGCAATAACTCTATATTCTCTTCTTTTGCTTTTTCCGCATCGTTAATGTGTATGGACATATATGCGCGTTGTATAACAGAGACGAACATAGAGAGAATACTACATATATAGCTATATTCTTATATGTAAAATATTGCAACAACGTCTATTTTTCATATCAGCAGTTTTTTGATTGTCCCATGTGAATAAGATATTATTACTATAGAGGTAGAGAAGAAAACTATACAAATGATGACACTAAAATTGACCTTATTATTTTTTTAGGTTTATAGAATAATGAAATTATAATTTATTTAATGACTAGTACAGAAAAATCAAGTGACGCTGCTACATCAGCGTCGTCTTCATCATCATCAACAACAACAACTCCAGTATATACTACAAAAGGAAGAAATTGTACAACAGTTCCAGAACCGCCCAAATGTCGTCTTGATATTGAAGATTTATTTTCTAATCCATCTGATCCAACTGATAAGCCTAATTTAGAAAAACTTAAACAACATATTCTACTTGAAGGTCGTCTTACTGACGAAGCTGCACTACGAATTATCGAAACCGGTAAATATATATATATATATATTAATTATTACGTCAATCTGTATATTATCCTACAAAAAAAAGAAAGTCAACTGTTTTCAATGTACCCATAGCGTCAATATTCTATACTTCAATTATTCATTATTTTTAGATCATATATAGATAAGTCTTTTGTACAGAACCGTATGTTTCTATATATAAATATATAAGTAAAACTAGTCCATGCATTTGTACAATACTTATTATTTAATTATCAGAAGAAGAAGAAAAAAAAACTCATTTGCATAACAGATGTCCTTATAATAATATCGTTTTGTTTTGTATCAAATTCTTCTTAGTTTAAAACTTATACAAGATCTATATTTAGTCTAATAAATATATATCTATCGTATTTTTCGCACATGTGAACTCATACTTTGATGTAATCGAAACTGAATGACACAGAAAATATTGTAACTTTTTTTCATATAGGTGCTAATATTCTTCGTGAAGAACCAACATTGTTAACTATTGAAGCGCCATTAACAATCTGTGGTGATATTCATGGACAATTATATGATTTAGTTAAGTAAGAAAATTATATTTCTTCGATAATTATTAAATATATTTTTGAATTCTACTATGAATAGATTATTTGAAGTTGGGGGTTCTCCAGCTGATACTCGTTATTTATTTCTTGGTGATTATGTTGATCGAGGTTATTTTGGAATAGAATGGTATGATAAATTATCAAAATTATATATGAATGCGCATTCTTTCTTGTTTTAGTGTACTTTATTTATGGTCATTAAAAATTCATTATCCTAAAACTTTTTTTTTACTCAGAGGCAATCATGAATGCCGACATTTAACTGATTATTTTACGTAAGAAAGTTTACATTTCATAATTATTAAATATCTTTTTTTTATATTGTTTAGTTTCAAACAAGAATGTCTAATTAAATACACAGAAACTATTTATGATGGTTGTATGGAAGCATTTGATTGCCTTCCATTAGCTGCTGTTATGAATAATCAATTTTTATGTGTACATGGTGGACTTTCACCAGAAATTCATACATTAGATGATATTAAACAAGTAAATTATTAAAAAGATTTCGAAAGAATTTGTATAAAGTCTAAAGGTTATAGAAAGTCATACTTGAATGTGTACAATGTTGGAGTCTTGACATTACTTAGTAATAGACTAATTTTAGGCATATCATTGACGACAGATGTCTCGACATATTCGTCCTCAACATGTATACTACATTTTGACGTATATTTATTTCTCCGGTCGATCAATATGATATATCTTTAAAAAATAGGCAGTTTATTGATAATGAGAATGTATGAAAGATTTAATAGCAGATAATAAAAATGTGCGTAACATTGCTCTTCTATTTTCAAGTATATTGTTATGAATATTACACAGATGAAAGATCACTTTAGAAATTTATCAGCTGGAAAAAAAAACAAATATCGGGCTTATTAAAACTGTCTTGTCAGCACTCAGTATTGACAACAGTAATTGAAAGATAGGATATCTTTTTCTTTTTCTTCTTCTTCTTCTTCTAAAGGTCGTTGTTTATAACGTTGAACAGAAGGCTGATCTAAACCAGATTTCTTACTTAATTGGTTTAGCTTCCGGTACAGCCTCGCTATACATATATCAAAGATCGAAACAAACTTTTAATTTGTGAATCGTTCGATATAAAACGAAAAAATGAATAAGAATAATCTGTTTTTAATTAAAGATATCTTCTTTATATATACAATAATTTAGTTAAACAGGACGTATCAAGGTCAAAAAATGTACGTTAATATAGTTACAAATTAGAAATATATGATAATTAAGTAATAATAATATGCTATTAGAAACAATCAGTAATACTTTATATATATATACATGTAAGAAGTAAGTGAAACCTAGTTATATAGAGACAATGAGGAATTTTCGTTCTTAACTTTTTCTTGTCCAATATAGTCCGAGCGTAATAGCCTTCATATAATAAAATTTATTGAACATATAACACATAGATTCGAGCCAAGAAAATGAGAATACTATAAAAAAATCTTTTGTTCAGTTTGCGACGAATTTGAAGCAATCAAATCTTTATTTTTCATTTCTCTAGTTGGATCGATTTCATGAACCACCAGCTCATGGACCGATGTGTGATCTATTATGGGCTGATCCAGCTGAAGATTATGGAAATGAAAAAGGATCATTAACATTAGTTGCTACACGTCGTATGAGTGCTCCAACAAAAACAGCAACTACATCTCATAGTTCATCATCTTTATTTCTTCCTAATGCAACGCGTGGTTGTTCTTATTTTTATACTTATGCTGCTATAAATGAATTTTTAATACGTAATCAGATACTTTCAGTAATACGTGCTCATGAAGCACAAGATATTGGTTATCGTATGTATAAAAACTCACCTGATACTGGTTTTCCATCATTGATAACAATGTTCTCAGCACCAAATTACTGTGATGTTTATCAAAATAAAGCAGCTATTATGAAATATGAAAATAATGTTGTTAATATTCGACAATTTAATTGTTCACCACATCCATATTGGTTACCAAATTTTATGAATGTATTTTCATGGTCATTACCATTTGTTGGTGAAAAAATAAATGATGTTCTTTTAAAAATTCTTAATATATGTACAGATGAAGAATTAGCTGAATATGATGAACATATCGAATCATTAGTTGAACGTAATCAAATTGAACAACGTAAAGAACAAATACGTTCAAAAATACGTGCCGTTGGTAAAGTTGCTAATACATATAAAACATTACGTGAATTAAGTGAAAATGTTATTACATTACGTGGTTTAACACCATCAAATAGTATGGCAGAATTAGATAAAGAAGTAACAAATGATGCTGAAGTTGCAGCTGCAGTACTTCGTGAAAAAGCATCATCAACAAAAGAACGTTTTTCACAAGTTAAAATACTTGATCAAGCGAATGAACGTATGCCACCACCTAAAAATACAAATCCATTAAGTGGTCCAAGTGTTGCTGAACGTATTAAACGTGCATCAAATATTAATCAAGCATCACAAACAAGTAAAAAAGAAGCCATAGCAAACGTATTAACTGGTGCAGCAACAGCAGGAATTGTTAAAATGAGACGTGAAAGTTATGCTGGTGTACCAACTACAGTACTTCGACGTTCACCAACACCAGTTGTCGATTTACCAACACTTGTTGATACAAAATCAACGACATCATCGAAAAACTAAGTTTTATTTAAAAATCTACCGGCAGGCCGGTTTCAACCTTTGTTCAATTTATTTCGTTTTCTTTTTTCCACCTTTTCCTTCTTTATGATTATTTTTATTTATTTTTCTTCTTGTTTTATTAACATTATTTTAAACCCCGTACATTTATTTTATGAGAAAAAAAAATATATCAAGAGAGACAGCATAGTGCATTATCGATTATAAGAAAAATAATGAAATGAAACATGATGAACTTTCGTGAATGCATGCTGATTGTGTTGTTGATGAAAGAGTATTATTAATAATGATAGGTGAATAGAAAATTTCAACATCTTTAGAATTTGAACATAAAGTACGATTTTGAGTATCAATATTACAAGCATGTACACTTATTGTATGATTTATATTGGCTAAAATATCTTCATTTATTTTATAAGATAATTCAGTATCTTTTAGACGACGTTTTACTTCAGTTCTATCAATAATTACACGATAGTTATCAATTGGACCTTGTGGTAAATCTGGCGATGGTCGAAAAATATCTGTACGTATTGTATAAGTTTTCATATACATTATTGTCGAACAATTAATATCAAATAAATATAATGTATATGGTTGTAAATGTGTAATAACAACAAACCCATCCGTAGTATTTGATAAAAAATCAACAGGTATTAAATTACCTGTTTTGTTTGTTTCTACATGTCATGAACATGAAGCCTATTTAGTCTATCTTGAAATTAAAACGAGTATTTGTCGACTATTTGCTTACGTAATGCTATCATTAGTAAGTGTTGGGATATTGAAAATTGTCGCTGAGAATGTAATAATATCTGTTGTGATTGTAATATCAATATTATTAAACTGAAAATGATGAGATACATTTTTTATAAGATATAATCAATTGTTCAACGAAAGAGTGGTGGTTTTTATTTTATTTGAAAAGAAAAACAAAGAATAAAGTTTGATCTTTCATAATATTCAAATATTTTATTTCAAAAACTTAAGATGAATTTTGTATTTAGCTGAATGACATATTCAATCAATCAATCTTTTATACTTCACTTAAAATTCCTTTAAAATATGACAAGACAAACAAACTAAAAAATTTCTTTTTCAATAAAATCTGACGAAATAACATCTAGTCATTTTTTTCTTCTCTGTACAATTAATCTGCTAATAATAATAATACAACCATAATTTATTGATTAAAAAAAATAAAATCTTTTCTTAATTATTCTCCGTAACTAAATTATATTTTTCGATAAAATATATACAATTCAAATCAATATGATATTTAGCGACATCTCGTTTTCTATTCTTTCTCAAAACCAACATAGAAACGATTGTCATCGTTACTCATGTACAAAACATAATTGATGGATGAATACTTATTCTATGTTCACTTTTATATTTCTAGATTGCCTACAAACATATCAAATAGAAGAGAGATGATATTTGATCAAAAGGCTAATATAGATACCGGTGGTGGACCGTTATCATTACCACATTATGAAAGTAAGGTCGTTGCTCCAAGAAATCCAACATTAAATCGTGGTCCAAAAATTGAACCAAAAGTATGTTAATTGTTAATTTTTATTCGATTAAAATTAAATAATACTAATATTATAGTTTACACCATCAACATTTTTAAAAGAAATGTCGTTAGACACTCAACAGAAACTGCTTAATACAAGAGAAATGCATATTCCATACATCATTGCACTATCAGACATGGCTGAAACATCATTACAAACAGTAAGATTTCATTATAAAAATAAACATGTTTTTTTATTGAAATTTTTCTTATTCAATTAGGCAACAAAAGTTGATATTGATGAACCTCTATTTCAACCATATCCATCAGATATTACTTTTCAAAAATTTGAACCATTCAATACCTATGAAGTACCTTTGTTACTTCGAAATAACGATAAAGTAGGATTGTTTTTTATTTCAAATTTTCATCCTATCCATTTTCTTTTTCGCAGGTAGCAAGAGCCGTTAAAGTAACACAAGTCGATACACCTTATTTTACTATTGTTCCTCCACCAAATGCATTTCAAAAAGTTGCACCTGGTGTTGCCCTTGTATTTCGTATTCAGTTTAAACCTGAAGAACAACGTGTATGCTATTTCTCGGGATCTTTTCAAATTAAAAAACATATTTCTGTTTTGTTAGGATTATACACATGAACTTCTAATAGCAACTGAACGTGAAAAATTTCTTATACCTATTCGAGCTATTGGTGCTCGAGCTATTTTAGATTTTCCTGATGATATAACATTTCCAACAACAGCTGTTAAAAGTACAAATACAAGTAAAGTTTTATTTGTTCGAAATATTGGCAATCGTGAGGCACGTTTTGTTTTACAAATTAATAAGTAAAAAAGAATTTACTTGACAATAATAATAATATACATATAATAATTTAATTTAGACCATTTATTGTTTCACCTGAAAATGGTCTTTTACCAGTTGGTGAAAGTATGCAAGTTACTGTCGATTTTCATCCAACTGAAAATGGTGAAATGAAAGATGAACTTGTTATATCATATGATACAGGTTTATATTTTATTTAAACAAAAAAACTCAAATTAATATTCTTGTTTTTTTTTTAATTAGGAGAAAAAATATATGTTAATGTCTATGGTGTCGCTCAAGATATAAATGTTCGATTAGAAAAAAAATCGATTCATTTTGAAAACACATATTTAGATATGATTAATCAACGTACAGTTACATTATCGAATCGTAGTAATCAATTAGTTCATTTTCAATGGAAACAATTTTCAACGGAACGTGAAGAAGAACAACAAAAATTAAGACAACTTCATGCATTATCAGAAGAAGAAATTGATGCATTACAAAAATTAAATGGTAAGAATTAAATCAGTTTATATAAAAAATTTAATTTTCTTTTCTAGTAAATACGAATGAATCTCCATCAGCTGGTCCATTTGATTTTGGTGTATTAATTCAACGTACATTTATCAATCATCGTCGTCAATTATCAGCTGAATCTTATTTATTTACACATACAAATTATCGTATTGATCCAATTGAAGGTGATATATGGCCTGGTGGTACATTAGATATTCAAGTCTTATTTAAACCAACTGAAGCACGTAAATATGATCAAACAGCATGGCTTGATGTTGTTGGTCGTGAACAACGTTTACCATTAATCTTAACAGGTGAAGGTGAAGGTGCGAAATTAGAATCATCATTTCAAACATTAGATATCGGTTGTGTTTATGTTGGTTCAACACATCTCTATGAAGTTGTTCTTGCTAATAAAGGTTTTATTGAAGCACGTTTTACAATACCAAAAATTAAATCATCATTTGGTTCATGTTTTGTTTTTGATCCATCATCAGGAGTAGTACCTGTTGATAATTATCAAGCTATACAAATAACATTTCATAGTGATCAACTTGGACAATTTAATGAAATATTTAATGTTACAATTGAAGGTAATCCAAATGTTTTACCAATCACAATATCTGGACAAGTTATTGGACCAACATTTTATTTTGATGAAGCACAATTAAAATATGGTTTAGTATCATATGGATTTCAAACAACATTACCATGTCATTTATATAATACATCACTTGTACCAATGCCATTTCATTTACATATTAATCAAGATAAACATAAGAAAAGTACACGTATACCATTAAATGATGATGATGAAGATGAAGATAAAACAGCAAATAGTGAATTTCTGATACGACCATCACATGGAACAATACCACCACAAAGTGATTTAAATGTTTTTGTTGATTTTGTACCGAAAGCTATTCAAAAATATGATACATTTTTACAAGTTGATATTGATGGTGTAGGAAAAAATATTTTCTCATTACCAATCACAGCTAAGTAAGTAATCGTAAAGATTATCGAAATAATCATTTGAATATTAATTTTAGGAGTACTGTTCCTCGTGTAACTCTTCTCAATGATGCAATTGATTTAGGTCGAACATTTTTAAATTTTCCAAATGAACGTTTTGTTCGTTTACAAAACTCTACGAGTCTTCCAATGCGTTATCAATTTTTATATCCACGTTCTGGTAATCTTGAGTTTCATTCCGATGAACGTGAAGGTGTTGTTGAAGCTAATACAACACGAGATGTTCCATTAGCAATCATTCTTAAACAACTTGGTGATATAACAGAAAAACTTGAAATACATAGAATTGGTGCACGTGATCCGCCATTAGAATTACAAATAACAGCAACTGGTACAGGACCTGTCTTATTTATTGAACCAAGTGACTTACGTTTTGGTACAATAAGTGTACTTGATGATCATGTACAAATACTTTCTTTATCAAATGAATCACCTATTCCAGCTGTATTTCATTGTGAATCTGAAAAGAAAAATTCTTGTTTTTCATGTGAACCAAATTCTGGTATTGTTGAACCTCATACAGCAATAGAAATTCGTGTTATTGCAAAACTTAATGATCGTTTAAAGTAAAAATATTTTTCTTATAAACAAAAAAAAACTGTTTCCTTTTTTTAGATTTAATGAAGATTTAATTATTTATGTTGAACATAGCACACCATGTACAATACCAATAACAGCACAAGGTACAGGTGCATTAATTGTACCTGATGTACCTATATTCCCATGTCTTAATTTGGGTTCACGTTTTGTTGGTACATCAATTGTTCAACGAATTCATTTTACTAATAAAGGACGTCGTCAATTGGCTGTTCATTTTATTTCAGCAAGTGATACAAAAGCTGCCTATGGTATACAGAAAAAATCGAAAAATAATAATGCTAAAGAAAATGAAAATGATCCATTATCTGATTTAATATTTCGTCTTGAACCTGAACGATTAGAATTTGCACCAGGTGAAACACGTTTATTAACATTAACTGGTTTTGCTTCGCAACCAAAAATAGTCGATGAAGCATTTACATGTTTAGCTATAATTGGTCGTTCAACTGGTCGTGATAAATTACTTTCATTAAAAATTCATTGTGATTTTATTGAACCATTGATGTCATTTTCTACAACAGATCTTTATTTTCGTGTTGAATATAATGAACCAATAATAACCGATAATTTACGTTTACCAATATCATCCGAATTAACATTCTCAAATATATCTGCTATTGATTTAACAGCACATCTTCGTGTAAAACATCCATTTCTATTAAAAAATGATTCCGAAGATGAATTTCATTCAACAAGTCGTATAGATAGTACAGATGAAAATCTACTTGATATACCAGCGAATTTTACATTAACAAAAACAATAAAAATTTTAACCGGAATGAGTTATTCAGAACAAGTTTATTTTGATCCAAGTGCTAATACAAAAGAATTATCATGGAAATGTGATGAACAATTAATTTTTACATATGAAGAACATGCTTTTAATGTAAATGAATTTGTTTTCTTTGTCTCTTATTCATAATTTTACTTTTTGTTATTTAGGATATTATTAATTTACATGGACAAGTACATTATCCAAATTTATTAATTGAAAATACAAATCTCGATTTTGGTTGTATACTCAATGGATCAGAAGTAACACGATATTTAACGATTGTTAATGTAAGTCCATTACCTGTTAAATATCTTTGGGCATTTATACTTGATGAAAATGAACAAAATTTTACATTTGAACCACAACCATTATCAACAGTTTCAGCAACACAATCAGATCAAACACAAATTCAAAGTGGACCATGGTCGGATGATAGTACTGATCAACCGAGATTATTCAATACAACAACTATTATACCTAAACATGAAGAAGTATTTGATATATCACCATTTTTTGGTAGTCTTCAAGCAGGGTAAATAAAAATTTCAATTTCGAATATAAAAATGTTATTTTTTTTTATTTTGATAGAGAAACTGAAAAAACTGCTATTCGTTTTTATGGTCATTCAGGTATAAAAGCTAATGTTAAAGCTATATGTCAAGTTGAAAATGGTCCTGTTTATGAATTAACACTTCATGGTCAAGCATCACATATGGCATATCGTTTAAATACACATGAACTTGATTTTGGTGATGTACATTTTGATAAATCAGCAACACGTACATTAACATTAACAAATGCTGGTATTGTTCCATTAGATTTTCAATTTTTAAATTTAAATAATTTAAATACAAATGAACAATATGCACATATAACAATAACACCTGAATCAGGTCTATGTCCAGCATTAACATCAACAGTCATAACAATAAAATTTCTTCCAAATATTCCGGAACATTTTGAGAAAATAATTTTTCTTCAAGTTGCACATTTTCAACCTGATAAAATACAATTAATTGGTACAGGCATGTTTTCAAGATTAGATATTAATTTACCACGTCATATTGATGATAATTCAATAGAAGAAAAACTTTTACACAATATTAAACATGAAGCAAGTGAAAATAATTCACAACACGATCAACAACAACTTGATACACTTGTTGTACGAAATTTTGTTGAAAAATCGAATGAAATGAATACAAATTTAGGTGAATCTGTTGATCAAACGAATCAAGCACAACAACATCAATCAGTACGTTCAAGTAATTTGTCATTATCAACATCAACAACAAGTTTAACAAAACGAACATTTAGTAGTAAATTAATGCCTGTATTACCGGATTATATTGTTGATTTTGAATATATTATTTTGGGAACTGTGCGACAACAAAATGTTCAAATAAAAAATCCAACAAATAATAATATTACATTTCAGTTTGAACGTATAGCATATAAAAATACAGGATTTTCATTTGATTGTGATCGTATTAAGAATTTACCACCAGGAGAATCAATTACAATAACAATTACATTTGATCCACGTGGAGCTAATCTTGGACTTGGTCCAGTTGAATGCCGAGTACCAGTTGAAGTAAGATAAACATATAGAAATTTCTAGAACTATTAAATATTTATATTTGTTTAAGGTTACATCTGGTCCATCATTTCATTTACGTCTTAAAGCTAATGTAACAATGCCAGATTTAAACGCATCAAATGATACACTTGATTTTAATACTGTTAAATGTGGTGAATGTAAAATAGCAACAATACAATTACGAAATCCAAAAGAAATTGCATGCGAATGGGTTGCTGCTTATCCAGGAGTAAATTTCTTTTTGAAAACAAAAAATATATATTCTTTGAATTTCGTTTTTGTAGGAAGATTCAACTGGTAAACCAATAAGTCGTTTTCCTCGTCGTGGAAATACAAGCGCGAGACGAAAACCATCAACACGTATTTTTGAAGTTTTACCACCATCGGGAATTATTTTAGCTGGTCAAAAAGTGAATGTTCAAATTAAATTTACACCTGCTGAAGAAGTAAAAATTTGAATTCATTAAAAGTAAAAATATTTAAAAAATTGTTTTTTTCGTATAGACAACATATGAATCACGTGTTTTATTACGTATTAATCAAAGTAGTCAACGTTTAATGATTATATGTCGTGGTATTGGTCTTGAACCTCAAATTATTGTTGGACAAATGCATGGAACTACATTTGAACCAACAACATCAATTGTATTTAATCCGATTTTAACACATAGTCATGGTGATGAACAAGAAATCGTCATACGTAATCCATGTACATTTCCAGTTGAAATCTATAATCTTGAATTTGATAAACAATATCTTGATGAAGAAAAAGTAAAATTTTTTTCACTTCTTTTTTGTTTATTAATTATTTTTCTATTCTAATAGGTTCTTCGACTTTTACCAGGTTATGATGAAAATAATAATATTCTTTTACCAACACGACCTGCTGGAGAAAAATTACCAGGTGAAATACAAAAATTTTATGAAGGTAAAAAAGTTTCAGTTTAGAATTTTTTAAATTAATTTTTATTCAATTTAGATGTAGTTAAACGAGCTGATGAAGAAAAATTAGAAGAATCAACTAAGAGAACTGAGGGTAAGGTTTTAAATTCTATTTTACTTAAATTCTATTATGTTTTATTTAAGAAGCATCACTTGCAGCTGATGGAATTGATTCACATATTGGTGAAACGAGTAATGTATCACATCAACCAACATCTAATGTTGAACGTAGTGGTGATAGATTAGTTTTTAATTCAAATTTTGAACATACAGAATCACTTCTTGATAAAAGTGAATCCACATTAAAACGTGTTGCAGAAAAAATTATTGATTATGAAATGACACCTGTAGCTCAAGCATTAGCACGTCATTTAGGCATTGATTTAACATCAGATGGTGTACAAGCACGTAATCGACGTGGTATTTCTATTATAGTTCATGGTCCACCTGGTTCAGGTAATGAAAAATATAAATAATAATAATAAAAATAATATTTTTCGTATATATAGGAAAAACAATGATATCACGTGAACTTAGTCAACGTTATGATTGTGCATTATTAAATCTTGATCAAATAATTATTGAAGCTATTGATAGTGCACAACGAAATGAATTTGCTCAACGTGCTTATCAAACATGTCGTGAAGCATATGACAAACATGTTGAAGAACAACGATTAGTAGAGCAAGATGCTGATCATGTTGCGGCTCCTGTTCCAGCAGGTAAAATCCTATGTTTTTTCTCGTTCAATGAAAATTCAAAAACAAAATAGACAAACGAATGAAAGATTGTAAATTCATATCATTTCTTATTATATAATAATAGGAAAAATTCGTCAATGTTCTTCTGTTTTATCAAAAATTCAATCACCTTTATATAACAATCTATCACCACAAAGTGTACAATCTCCAACCAGTATTTTTCTTTTCTCGCTCGTAGATGATACTTTAAAATCAATAGTAGCTCCTATTATCTTTTTGATTTTTTGTTTCAAACATATTTTCGAATTGAATTGAATTTTTTTTTGTATTCTTTTTAGCTACACATGTTAAAAAACCAACAGATAAAAAGAAAAAAGGTGGTGAAGTAGCTGATTCAAATGCTCAATTAGCAACTCAAGAACCTCAACCATTAGCAGCACCACCACAAATTAAATTTAAAATACATAAACATTTAACAAGTGCTGCTAATGCTGAATTATCTCATGCACAAAGAAATGCAGAAGACAGTCCATATATTGCTGATGATGATCAAGAAGAACTTATGTCTTATATACTTACAGAAGATGTTTTCGTTGAAATTCTTGCCACTAGACTTCAGGTAAATGCCGTACTCTGTTACAAAGTTTAAATCTATATATTCTTCTCTTTTTATTTCAAATAGAAACCTGATTGTCTTCATGGTGTTGTCTTTGATAGTCTTGATACATCATTTCTTGCTACTGTTTCTCAAGCAGCAATTGCAGTTCTTAAAGCAATTAATAATCGTTCATATATTTATGCTATTTTAACAAATTTTTCGTATGCGAAATATAAAGAAGCACAAGCCAGAGCTGATGAAATACGCCGTATGAAAAAAAACAAATAAATCTAATAGACTTTTTTTGTTACAAAATTCAAATTAATTTTTAGGTTCAGAAGAACGATTACGAGAACAAAATGACAAGGAATATGTTGAAGAAATGGGTGAAGATGAATATGATGCATTACCGGATGAAGAAAAACAACGTATTGATCAAAAAAGATTACAACAAAAGAAAGATCGAATTCTTAGGTATAAAGATTTTATTAAAGATTTTTATAATTTACTTTTTGTTTGTATCTTTCAGAGAACAACGTATTAAAGAAGAAAAAGCTCGATTAGAACAAGAACGTTTAGCATTAAAAGAAACTGAACCGTATTTATTTAATATTTATTGTTTATATATGTATATATGTGTTATTGTTTATTTAGAAAAAAAGGTAAAAAAGGTGGTGCAAATCAACCAGCCGCGGGTAAAGGTGGATCGATAGCTGGTGGTGATAAAAATCTTGCAGCATCGAATGCTACAGTTGCTGGTGCAAAAGGAGGTTCTCGATTAACATTAGTTAGTGCTCGTGGTCCAACTGGTTCTGATCGATCAACCATAAAAATGGATGGTATAAGTACTGAAGATATTGATAAGTATGAGAGCAAAAATTTTGTTTTTCTGTTTTTTTGAATTTATTTGTTTTTTTTAGGAAAAAAAAATCTATGAAAGATCTTGCTATAAAAGAAGAAGAAGGTTCAAATTCATTAATGAAAGGATCAACAACGAGTGATCTTGACGAGGAAAAAGAAAAGAAAAAAGAGAAAGAATTACTTGTCAAGTAATATTTTCATCTTTTTTATTTTATTTGAAAAACAAAACATATTTGATTTCTAGATTTAAAACATTTGATTTTTATCGTAATGATTTAATGAGCGTTTTTGATTTATGGGATCGAACAAAAGGTGTAACACGTAGTCCACCAACACCAACAAATCAATCAGAAGATGATCATGGATCAGGTGCAGTTGGACCAGGTGGAAAAAAAGGTGCACAAAAGAAAGATAAAGGTAGTACAAAAAAAACGAAATTCTATCACATGTACTTTTTATTTTTCATTTTAGGAAAAAAATCTGATACAAAAGAAAAAGAAAAAGCTGAAAAAGTCGATGAAACTGGTCCGGTAGGTACACCTAGTCAACAACACTTAGCTAGTGCAACACCATCTGTTTATGTAAAAATAAATTCTTTTTTTATTCTTATTTAAATTTCGTATTTTCAGGATGATAGTACACAGATAATGAAAGATGATTCAAAAAAAACAGCAGCAGCTGTAGCTGAAGAAGCACTTAATATTCCAACAATTCAAATTGATACACCCGCTGATTATAATTCAAATGAACCAATACCATCAAATATAATGGATACAATTAACAGTCGTTTACCAAGTTTAAATAACGTAATTCAAATTTGATTAGTTTTATTAAATTTCATTAATATTCATTATATTATTAGGTACTCGATGGAATGGGTCAAGGTCCTCGTGGTCCACCTGTACCAAAAGCATTTGAATTTGCTGTTGTTCCATATCCTGAACCACGTGCAAACCCACCATGTGCTGAATATGGACAATATTGTTTTATTGCTACAAGTGAAAATGATCCGTAAGATTTTTATATCAAAACAAATAAAATAAAATAAAATCTTTTCTTCAATTAGGAATCTATTTGCTGAAGATAGTAAATCAAAAGAAAGTAAAACACCTGAACCAACAGCTAATGGCGAAGATGGTGATGGAAAAGAGACTGGAACAAAAGGAAGACGTAGTCGAAGTATGTTCGATTTAAAAAGATCAAAAAACAAAAATAATTTCTTTATTAATTTCTAGCTGAACGAGATTCAATTTCAACTAAACGTAAAACAAGTGGTGGACCTAGTGGTAGTACTGAAGGTAAATCTTCAACACGTGGGACAACAAAAACATCTCGTTTTGGTGGTAAACAATCACCCACACCTCATTCAGTTGATGGACATGATGGTACAAGTGAAGCTGGTGCTGAAAAACATTTACCAAAGTTTGTAATTTATACATATAAGAAATAATTAATTTATTTTCTTCTTTAGAATTGTTCGTTTTCGTTGGATTATACCAGCAAAAGGTGAAATACGTGTACGCCTTCGATTTGTTTCTAATGAAGTCGGACAATTTGATCAAACAATATCATTTGAACTTCTTGGTACAAAACGAAATTATAAAATATTTTGTCGCGGTATTTGCACTTTTCCAGTTATTAGTCGAGAACCACGGTTTGCTTTCTCTTATTATTCTTTTAGGATCTAAATAACTTCTTTTTTTTCTTTCTAGTACAATATTTCCAAATCGACAAAAAACTAAAAAACCCAATGAAATTGTTCATAAAAAATTTATTCTTTCAACTGAACAATATGATTTCGGTCCATTAGTACTTGGCAAAGATATCAATAAGTATGTTTTATTTCTTTAACTTTATATGTATATAAAATAAAAAACTATTTTCATAGAATTCGTACTGGTATCTATCCGAGTAATCTTGAAACATTAACAATAGCAAATACATCACCAATGGATGTTGAAGCATTATTTTGTTTTTATAATGAAGTTGATCCATCCAAAGCAGTTTTCTTTGTTGAACCAACTGAAATGCAATTAAAACCAGGAGAATCAAAAGTAATAATAAGAAGACGAATTTTTTTGTATCATTTCAATTTCTTGTTTTTCTAGCCACTTAAAATAATGGCTAATCCACCAAAAGAAGGTCCATTTGATGAAACACTTGTTTGTTGTATCAAAGAAAATCCTGAACCAATTGTCTATAAATTACATTGTGATGGTTGTATACCTGATTTACAACCTGAACCAGCATCATTTGATTTTGGTCAAGTATTACTTTTCAGGTAAATATAAAAAACAATGATTAAATTAAGTTTTCATTTTTTTTTATTCGTCTATAGAAAAGAAACACGAACAATTCGTCTTAAGAATACAAAATTAATTCCTGTTCGATGGCGTTTAATAGGCATTGGTCAAGATGGCATTGGACAAGAATTTTCAACAAAAACTGATACAGGAATTGTTGAACCATTGAGTACATATGAATTACAATTGAATTATTATGCTAGTCGACCACGATCACCAGCATCACAAAAAAATAAACTTATATTAAAACTTGAAGTATAGAAATATGTCACAAAAAAATCTAAAAAACATTTTTTTTGTATTTAATATTAGATATCCGATAGCGAAGGTATGCCAGGTGCATTAAAAACTATAAATATTCCTGTATATGTTGAACCATATGATATTGTTTTGGATATGACATTTCAAAAAGGTAATGATCGTGGTATTGATTTTGGTAATGTACGTGTTAATCAAGAGGCTAAACAGACATGTACACTTAAAAATAAAGGCAAACGTGAAATAAGATATAAGTATGAATTTGAATATTTGTTTCTCTAATAATTAATTTTATATTTAATAGATTCGAATTAATACAAGATCCAAAATCGAAAATTAATGCTACTAAATTTTTTGAAATTGTTCCAAAACAAGGAAGTTTAACAGCTGGTGGTGAACGAAATGTACCAGCGACAAATGTTGTTGTAAGAATTAATTGTATTTATATAAAATTATTCTTATAATTTTCTTTAAAGATTACCTTTAAACCCACAGCTGAAATTCATCTTCGTGAAGCTGAAATTATTGTCGTTAGTGTTATTAATGTAGCTCCAGGACCAAAACTAACTGATGGTCCTGGTCATGCAGGTACATCACATAGTACATCAAAAGGTGAAGCAAATGCTGCGCGAAATGCTCTTGCCGCTCAACAACAAGCAACAGGTCCACCTGTTGAAGAAGAAGTTGCACGTATTCGACTTAAAATATCGGGTAAAGCAACATATAGCAAGTAAGTTATTTTCTCTATCTTTATACATGCATGACATTAATTTGCTAAATAGATTTGTTATAACACCTGCAAAAGAAGTTAATTTTGGTCCAATGCCTATTGGTTGTCCCCGTCGTGTAGAAAAATTTCTTATTGAAAACCAAGGTGAACATGATTTTAAATATATTATAACAAAATATCAACGTGATGCATCACCACAAAAATTAAATGCAAAGTATGACCTCTTAATCAATATTTATTAATTTATATTACGAATTATTATCTTTTTTTATAGAGATGCACCAACACAAGGTCGTTTACAAGTTGGTCCATTTATAATTTCACCTGCATTTGCAATGGTGATACCAGGTGCAAGTTCAACTGTATCAGTTGAATGTATATCAGAATCCGATGTACCAAGAAAATTCGACGAAGTAATTTTTCTTTAATAACTAAATTCCGATTATTGTATACATTATTTTTCTTTCTTTTAGGAAATTCTTATTGATATTGCTGATAGAAATCCAGTTGAATATCCAAAAGGACTTGTATATAAATTAAAGAGTGAATTAATAGTACCACAAATTGATACAAGTGATATTTCATCTATATTTGAAGAACATCGAATTGTTCGAAATCTTTCTTCATTTAAGAATATTGCTGATGTAATTATTTGATTTTGCGAAAAAATTTAATTTATCTGATTATAATTTTTTTAGTCAATAACTGGAGGTGTTTATGGTGAAGATGAACGTCGTTTTCAATTTCGAAATGTTATTGTTGGTCGAACATCAAAAGCAAGATTCAAAATAAGCAATGCACAAAAAGTAATTGAAAATTAAATTATATTTTTTTGTTCTCTTTTTCGTAGAGAAGAGTCCAGTAATCATAAATTGTTTGCTTGCTTGCTTGATTGATTGTGTGTCCACAGGGTCAAAAAAACATCGAAAATTGATTTTTCTAAAAAGACATTTCTAGGGGTTTTTCGATGCAGAGACTTCGAATCTCGGGTCTGTTGGGTAACCATGGTTAGGGGCGGGTGAAAGGTCAAAAAAACATTGAAAATCAATTTTCTGGAAAAGACATTTCTAGAGATATTTCGAATCTGAGGGCTATTGGGTGAGCGTGTAGAGGGGGAGAGATGAGAGTTCAAAGATCAAAAAAACATCGAAAATAAAGTTTTTACGTTTTTTATCTGTTTTTCCAGTAAGTGTGAAGAAAATGGATTTCTACGAGAAAGAGCTAAGCGAGTCCTCGAAGGAGCGTTACTTGTTTTTTAATTTCCAAAAAATCTATTTTAGGTTCCAGTTGATATAAATCTTATTTTACGTCCACCAAGTAAAGGACATAAAGCAGTTGAAGCATTTGAACTTGATGCACATCGTGCACAAATTCCACCCTATAGTAATCATTATGCTGTTGTTTCTTTTACTCCAACATCAATGCAATCATATTCGGCAATATTTGATGTTACAGTTGATGGACAATCAAAAGCAAATAGAGAAACACGTAGTACACCAAATTTTTCATGTGAATTACATGGTGAAGGTCATTTACCACGTGTAACTATTTTAAGACCAGCTATACGAAATAAAAAAGCACAAACAATGATGATATTTAATAAATTATTACTTGGTCGTCAAGCTATGCAACAATTACTTTTAGTTAATGATGGAGTTTTACCAGCTAAAGTTGATTTTTATTTACATGATGTTGAAAATGTTTATTCAATTCAAGCATCAAGTGATAATCCTAATCCTGATAATCTTGTTATTAATGATATAACACGAAAAGCTACAGCTGCATCAGCTATATTTGAAGTTGGTCAAAGAATTGCACTTGATATTTTATTTAAACCAAAACCATCACAAGGACCACAACGATATGAAGGTGTTCTTCGACTTGTTGTTGTTGATAATCAATATGAAGATACAACTGTTCAATTAATTGGAGAAAGTTATACAGATGATATTACACTTGATAATATTCATGGATTAGTTATGAGTGATGAACAACAACAACAACAACCACCATTACCAATTGAAAATGGACAACCTACGATCGTTGATGAAGATGCTCCAGGTAATAAAAAAAACATTAAATCTATCATTTTGAAATGAATTTATCTATATTCTTAGTTTCTCTTTCCAATACAATAAATTTCGGTGAAATTCATCTGAATGAATCTCGACAAATTCTATTTTCTATAACAAATCATCATCAAAAAGATTCTGTTCGTTTTGAATGGCCTGAACATAATCAATGTACATTTACACCACGTGTTGGTCATCTTCATGCTGGTAAATTATATATATATATAGTAGATATATTCCATTTGTAAATTTATCGTATTTTTTGTAGGTTGTACAAAAGATATACAAATAACATTTAAAACCGCTAAACCAATCCAATTAAATAAAGAAAAAGTTCTTTGTTCAATAACTAAAATAACATTTGATCGCCCAATTAATGAAATACCTGATTGGGATGATCGAATGCGTTCAGTTAAATGGATTGATACACCACAACAACCAGCTGATCCAACAAATCCTGATCAACAGCGTATAAATCGTCCAGTAAGAAAGAAAATTATTGAAGCTGATGTTGAACCAACAAATCAACGTATCGAAGAACAAACACGTCAATTAGATATATACGTATCAGCTGTTGCAGATTATTGTCGTTATAAATGTAGTGATTTTGAAATTCGATATTTAGAAACTGCAATGTTACAAACACGTGTTCATGAGTAAGATTTTTGATTATGTGATTTATATATATGTATTAAAATTCTAGAGTAACAATTACAAATCGTGGTAAAGTATCATTTAATTATGCATGGCAAGTTCATATGGAAGATAACCAACGACCATTTACACCATTAGTTGATCGTGATCCTCCAACACCTGAACCAGTTGATGGACCACGAAAAGGACAAAAAGGTACTCGTACTCCAGCAGCAACTGCGCCAACGCCTGATTCATCAAATGCACAAGAATCACCAGCGATAACTCCTGGTGCACGAGGAAAAGATAAAGCAACAAAAGATACAGGAAAATCAACTGGTAAAGATGGACCAACAGGAAATAGAGCAAAAGCACGTCCATCAATTAAACCAGCAGGAACAACTGATAATACTGTTGATGAAAAAGAAACTGATAATGAACAAAATTATCTTACGGAAGGTACAAATCTAACTGATCTATCACATGGTGAATCAGAATTAAGTCTTATATCACCACCAACTCCATTGGCTGATGTTGGTTATATACCATTTATGATTGAACCCGATATTGGTTCAATAGCTGTTGGTGCTAGTCAAATATTTAAAATTAAATTTGCACCACTTGATATTAATGATTATCAAGCACGATTAATTTGTTGGTAAGTTTCTTCAAAAATATTTTTAAGACAAAAATCTATATGTTGTCTTTTTATTTAGTATACCGAATTTAGAAACGGGTAAATCAGGTCCAACTATCGCTGTTCGTGGTCGAAGTCTTTTACCATTCTGTCATTTTGAATTAGAAGAATCAGATTATTTAACAAGTGGCCGACGACGTGTTGATCTTTTAATTAATAATCATTCAACACAACCACCAGCACCATTTATTGATCGTCAAACACGAGTTATTGAATTTAAATCTGTCGGTACTGGATCTACATTAAACAGGTTAGTTAACAATTTAATTCTTATATCATATTAAAGAATATAATTTTGTTTTTTCGTAGATCGTTCTCTGTATTAAATCCAACCGATACTGATTATACTTATCGTTGGATATGTGATGATAATCTTGATTTAACAAAACAACCATCATTTGTTTGTCGTACTATCCAAGGCAAAATTGGATCGGGCAAAGGAGCTATTGTAAGTCAAAATGAAATTTTTTGTTATCTATCGAAAATAAAACTCATTTTTTTGTTTTGTAGATGTCATTTGATTTCTTTCCTCGTTCATTTGGTATTGTTGAATCTATGTATCGTTTTGAAATTCCAACACATTCATTATCCGTTCCATTTTTACTTGTTGGTCAAATAAGTGAACCACAAATATTATTTGATCGAACATTTATTTCATTTCATCCTGTTTTAATTGGTCATTATGTTGAAGAACAAATAACATTAATTAATAAAGAAAATCGTCCATTTTATTATCAATTTCTTGAACGTTCATTTATCAATGGTACAACAAATCATGATTTAACTGTTGAACCATCATCATCCGGTACAATATTAGCAAATACACGTTTACCATTACGTTTAATATTTCGCCCAACACAAAATCGTACATATACATACATTCTTCAATGTCGTATTGATGAAACAACTGAATTATTAACAATAAATATTAAAGGTGAAGGTTTTGCAAATTTATCTAATGTACAAGGTGAAACAATTGATGGTAATCATTATGATTTAACAACTGTACAAACTGGTACAAATGAAATACGTTTCGATGATGTTCTTATTGGTAATACAACATCAAAACAAATTGAAATCTCCAATGATGGTAAATATGCATTTGATTATAATTTTTCTATGGATAATAATCAAGATTGGGGACCATTTACAATTACACCAATAAAAGGTACAGTAACAAATAGTCAAAAACAAATCTGTCAAATTTTATTTGAACCACGTACACGTGAACATCGTTCATTAGTTCAACGTTTAGCACATTTAAATATATTAAATGGTTTAAAATATGATTTATTACTTATTGGACAAACAACAACACCAAATATAAATTTTTCATTTTTAACATATAATTATGGTTCATGTTTTGTATATCGTGCTGGTATGCCAGAAAATGTATGTCTATTAACAATAACAAATTTAGATACAAAAGATCATACAATTGAATGTTTATATCAATCAACAGCACAATTAATGGTTGATTTTAAAACAGGTTTAATTGCATCGAAACAAAATGCCGTATGTAAATTTACATTTTATCCACGTGAACAAAAAACTTATCGTGAAAATATACAATTTGAAATTGATGGTTTAACAATTGTTAATGTTATTATTGAAGGCGAAGGAGTTGATTTTCGTGTTGAATTAGCTGAACCGAAATATAAAATTGTTAATTTAGGTGCATTACAAGCTGGTAAAAGTGTTACACGTGAAGTTTGTCTTGTTAATCGAAGTCGTGCACCCATATCAAATTGTTATATAACATTACTTTCATCTGAAAGTGGTGCACCACGTGATATGCTTTCTATTCAACCAACAACGCCAGTTTCATTAAAAGCTCGAGGTGGTACAGCGACAGTTACAATTAAATATACACCACGTTCACGTTTAGCACCATTTGTTGAACAAATCCTATTGAAATATGGTGATTTAGATGTACCAATGTTTGGTGTACGTGGTTGTTGTCAAGGTTATGATATTATTCTTGATACTGATGCACTTCCATTTGGTGCTGTTGGTAAAGATTGTTCTTTAACACGTAAACTTGTTCTATTAAATCGAGGTGATATTGGTGCTGCATTCTCTTGGAATCTTGCTCAATTACGTGATACACCATTTAGTGTATTACCAACAAATGGTTATGTTGCACCAGGTCAAGAAACAACAATTGAATTTGTTTTTCAACCACATATGATAAAACATGATATACGTTGTGATAAAGTTGAATGTCGATTAGAAGGAACAAAATCTGTTTTTGTTACATTAAGTGGTTCATGTATTGAAGTTGCACCTGCACGTGAAACAATAACAATATCAACAGCTGTACGTTCAAAAGAATTATCAAAAGCAATTCCATTAAAAAATAATACCAATACATTATGGACATTAACACCTGTAATTAGTGGTGAATATTTTTCAGGACCAGAAGCAATTACTATTGAACCAAATTCAACAAAAAATTATGAATTAACATATTTACCATTAACTGAAGGTTAGTTTAAAGATATTTTTAGAGAAAAAAATTCAATTTTTCTTTTCTTTTTTTAGGAAAACATACTGGTACATTGTTCGTTCCATTACCCGATGGAAATGGTCTTCTTTATAATGTTATTGGTAATGCTGATTCACCACGTGCATCTGGTAAATTTTTACGTGAAGTTCCATGTAAAACACCTTATGTTGAATTATTACCAATTGAAAATTGGTTAAAAAAATCGCAACGTTTTCGTGTAACACATGAAATTATCAAACAAGATCGTCCTGATATTCCTACAACAATAAAATATCTTGAATTTATTGATGTTGCAGCGAAATCAAAACGAGATTTTAAAGTACATTTTTATTCATATAAAGAATGTGTACAACAAATTAAACTTATTTTTAAAAATGAACAAACACAAGAATATATTTGGTATGATATTACATTTAAATCAATTATGGATAAACGTAATGCACCAACAATAGGACATATTGAATTAACTACACATGTACGACAACAAGCAACACATGATATTATTCTTGATAATCCATTACCACATAAAGTTACATTTCAAGGTCAATGTGCACATACCGATATACTTTTACCACCGGAACATGTTTCGATTCCAGCTAATTCTCAAGTAAGATAATCTATTGTAGATTTTAAGAATAGCATTTGAATTTAATTGAATAAATTTTAGGGTTCATTCAATTTTACCTATATGCCATTAAAAGCAGGCAAAGTTGAAACTCGTCTTGAAATACATTCAGCTGAACTTGGTTTATATACATATATGTTATCACTAAATGCACTTCCAGCTCGTCCTGAACGCACCGTATATTTCAAAGCACCATTAGGTAGTTCACAAGTATTATCAGCAAAATTTACAAGTTTTGCTCGTACAAAAACAGATTACATTTGTAAAGTAAGTTATTTTATTTTGAATTCTTATCTAGTAATTTCAAAAATGTATTTTATTTAGATTGATCATCCAGATTTTATGGTTGATAGAACAGTAACAGCCGCACCAAGTTCATCACCATCAACAATGGAAGTTGGTGTTGATGTTACATATGAACCATCACAATTAGGTGATGTACGTGCAACACTAACAATTAGTTCATCATCCGGTAGTGATTATACATTTCCACTGGTTGGCCTAGGCGAATTACCAAAACCACAAGGTCCATTTACAATTAAATCTGGTGGTAATACATCAATAACATTTAAAAATGTCTTTGCTCAAGCATTAACATATACATTCAATGTTGATAATCCATTATTTCATATAACAAAAAGTCAAGAATTAATTCAAGCAAGAAAATCACATCGAATTGTAGTTTCATTTGATGGATCAGATACAACAACTAAAGCTGATGTTATGGCAAAATTGATTGTTTCATGTCCAAAAACAACAGGAGCAACTAATGCATCTTCTTCAAGTGTACAATGGATTTATTATCTTAAGGGTATTACACCATCATAGATAATATAATATTAAATTTAATTGTTCGTCAAACAATAACAGTGATAAAGACATTTTACTTACTTTTTATGCCTTGTTTATTTAGCAAAAAAATATAATGAAAATTTATTTCTCTTTAATTAAATAAAGATGAACTTATTAACTGAATAAATTCATAATCTTCATTTTTATCTATAACGTTCTCTCGAAAGTTTTACAAATTTTGATTCTAATCATATGTATAACTGATGAGTTCACTAAAATTTCATATCAGAATATAATATATCAATTATCTGAGTTATTTTATTCAAACAATATGCAAAGTATGACATGATCATGTGTAATTTATCGATTTCAGTAAATTTATTAAGTATTAAACGAAGATCTACAATGTGGATATGCACTTTCTCATTATCACTAAATTACATTGTCAATGCTGATATAATAAGGGATGCGAAGATTTCCGAAAAATAAATAGCTTCATTTTTCATCGACTGCAACATATTCTTGAATATAATCAACATTTTCCATTACATTCGTCATTTAATTCTCTACGAATGTAATAGAAAATACTGGCATTGCTTAAAGATCAGCTCTCTTTGTTACAGTCATTTTGGGTTATTTTTTACGGTTATAGTATATTTTAGTTTCATCCGAGAACATGGGCGTGTTGCTTAAGGGCGAAATATATTTAGAAATGTCTTTGAATATACAGTTGGACAGTACTTTCAACGTAGACTCTACAGAGTTATTCGAAACCACCGTCAAAAATATTACTTATATTGAAATGTATTTTACTACTCTTGCTATAGAGTTGGCCGTCGAATAGAAAAAACTTTAGTGCATTCGATTTTAGTCTCTGTAAAACATACATGCAATCGCTATTATTGATCAAAGTATTATATACATTTGTTTCATGTAAAATATATCCTAACTAACTAAAAGGATCATAAGAATCTTTCTCTTTATGTAATCTCTGTTTATTTAATATAATATTATACTCTTTCAGATCAGTTTTTTTTAAAAAAAACTTCACTTTTTTGTTTTATTATTAAAAATAGATATAAACTCAATATTTATATGTTCACAAAACATCGCAGAAAATGGCTAAAAACATTTTAAGATCACGTTAATTTTATGAATGATATATTATTTTATTAAATTGTCATAAAAAGAAATTTCTTGTGCCTATTATCGGTTATTCACAATATACAGCATAAACAGTAACAATAGCAATCATATCTTTTGTTTCATAATTAACCGATAGCATATTATCTGTTTTTGGATCCCATAAACATCGTGATGCAATACGTACAAGTTGATCATATTTTTGTGAAATAGCCGTTTGCATAATTAATTTATATCTTGGTAATTGAAAATTTTTCATTAATTGATGAACACTACGTGAAACATTTTTAACAAGATCATTTACAGTTGCTGGATTATATTTTTGATCTTTCATTTGTTCAACTAAAACTTCATAGATTTTCGATTGAAGTTTATATGGACGAAAACGATATTCAGTATCTGGTTCCATACGGTATGTATTTGGTCGAGGTTGACCTGATGGAAGAAACATTGAAGATTTTCGACCACCTGACATTGATAAACGCCGAAGCATATTTGGTGGTATACTTTCTTGTGATGGACGACGTTGAGGAACAGTTGTTGCTGCTGCTGTTGCCGCAATAGCTGATAAATGGCTAGCACCAACATTTGATCCATGTGCATCATCACGTGAAGCATTATGTGTAGCTGTTGTTTTTACTGTATTCATACCACGTTGTTCAGTTTGAGCTGCAAAACGATTCGCCATGTTGAAATTTTTTGATTTAATATTTTAGAAATGAACACAATTGAATTGTGACGATAGAGATGTTGTTTGGTTGATTTAAAATTCTCTTTTCTTTTTTTTCTCTAGTGACCGTTGTTATTTTAAATGTTGATTTGTTTCTTAACAGACACAATACTTTTCTTTTTTTTTTCTCTCTCTCTCGCTTATTCTCTGCTTTATTACATATGATGTGTGCCCGAATATTTACATATAATGTTTGATAAAATAAACAAAAAAAAAAGCTCTTAGCGACGAGAAACTTTAAAACTGTTTGTGTATGAAAAATGAATGAAAAAAAAATAAGAGTGCTTGACAATTAGATGATGGTAGTGTGGTTACTTTCTTTTCTTTTTCAACTTATAATGAGTGTTTGCCGATGTCATAGCTTAACAAAAAAAAGAGAAGGATTTAATTGAAATTGAATCTGTGATGGGATTCAAAAATTTAAGTCATTTATTTTTATAGTACCCAAAAAAAGTGATTCCTGTTTCATTATAAAATAAGAAGTCGATAAATTTCATCGCTATTTACATACATTTTATTTATTCATCTCATTAGTTAATGGACAAAGTTTCTAACTTTATGTGTTGTTTTCACTCAATTAAAACTACGCGAAACATTATTATGCATCGTACGATCTTTGTTGATCAGTTTTAAAAACTGAAGTACTGTTCGTAAAAATATGCATCGTTTGAGATACTTCATATAATTTGATTTTATATTTTAAAGATAAAAGAAATAACTCATTCTAAAATGTTCCTTCTAAAATCTCACAAAACATGTGTAATAAGTCAAATAGTTTTTATATCTCGAAATGTTAAAGTGAAAGTCTTGAATTCAATGTTGTAATTATTGATAGTAAATATTTAATCTAATGATCAATAACCTTCCATCGATAGTGATATTTTTTTGATATTTTATTTTACTGAAAATGTATCAACTGAGTTTGGTATCATATTATATTATCGAAACATAATGTGTATTCCTTTTTAAACATTGTTTTGCTGTATTTGTTGACTTTTATAGCTCAACAAGTTGTCGTTAAAAATAACCAATTAGACTTAATATTATTCGAAAGAAGTAATAATATCTATGTATTTATGTAAGACAATTTGATGTACTCCTTGTTTCTATTTGACTATCATTTAAGTGATAAGTAGATGAAAAATTTAAAAAATCAGTAAATTAAATAAAAAGGAAAGTGCAGAAATTGAAGTGTATCATAGTATCACTCACTTCTACTCTATTATGTCAACGAGCGATAGATGGTATTTATTTTTCTCTTCCGCTTTGTGACTTTGAAATCTTTCAAAATGTAACTGCTCAGCTTTTCTTAAAAACTATATATGATTAAAATATCGGAAATCATCACCAGTAGTAACAGTAGTTCCAAGTAGCGAAAAGAGAAAACATGATCGACCAGTAAAAGCTAAACAAACTCTGTTATTACGATAATTTAATCTTCGTTCTCTTTATTAGAACTATTTCATAAGTGTACGTTGCACTGACAAAAGATGTTTTCATTTTAGCATAATACATAGCAGAGTAAGACGAAATTTAAGATTTGCTATCATAAACCTTAGAGTTGTTTAACAAATATTTCTTCTCTATAATATATAAATATCACTCTAGATCAATTCATTATTAAGTTCAATACAATTTTATTTCTTTTTTTTAAGCATAAGAAATATACTTTAATAAACCATGAGGTAGCATATATGTATATATATAAAGTCACTATTAAAAAAGAAAAAAGGCTTTTTGTTTGTTACAAAACAATGAAAAAAAATTATAATAATTAGTCTTCTTCATCTGCATCACCGATATCATTTTCATTTTCATTATCAATTTCTCTTCGCATAGATTCATCATCACGATTTTCATCATCTTCTCCTTGTTCATTTTCATCTCTTTCATATGTACGATTTTGTTCTTCATCATCAGCTTCTTCTTCTTCACGATTTCGATTCTCTTCATCATTTGTTGATTGATCTTGTTGATTAGTTGATGCTGATTGTTGTCTTTCAGATATAGCTGATTCATTAAGATTTTCAGCAGAACTATCTTTAACAACTTGATGAGCAGCTAATAAATATTTATGTTGAGCAAGACGGACTAAAATTTTTACTCATATATATTTCATTTTATATAAATCATTAAACTTACCTTTATTACGACTTTCTTGTTTAGCAACTTCTGGTATAAGAAAACCATGAACTAATTCTGCTACAATACCTTCAGATTCAAGTTGAGTTCGTCTTTAAAATAGAATAAAAAATATAGACATTAATTCTAAATTGAATTTACTTTGCTTCCATATCATGTGCAATTTCATCGATTGCTATAGCTTGTTCATGAATTTCAGTACGAGTTTGTTCAGTAGATGTATCAAGAGTACTTGCTAGAATAACATCTTCTAAATAACTATCGACTGTATTTTGAGTCATTTTCAGTGTCTAAAATATTCATATAAAATTGAATAAGAAATATTAAATGGAAAAATCAAACTTGTTTAAAAAGTTCATCTTGTTCACGTCGTCGTCGTTCTTCGACTTGTCTTAAACCAGATTCTTCAGCTTCACGTAAACGTCGTTGTCGATCAGCTAACATAGCAAATGCAGCAATACGACGTTCTTCTTGGAGACGTATTAATTCTTTTGATAAATAATCCATCATATCACCCATAGCTTCGCCTTCCAATGTTTGAAGAATTGAATCAATAAAATCTTCCTATAATTTTATTTTTCAGAAAATTAAAAATTCGAATTAATAAAATATATATATTTACTCGTGAAATTTCTTTTCTTTGAACATATTGAGCTGTATGAATATCTTGTCGTTGAAGTTTTTTCATATTCATATCTTGTTCTTGTAATGCATGTGTACTACGCATTTCTTCAATTAATTCAATACGTTCTTCTTTATTTTTGTACATCTAAGGAAATTAATTAATTATTATATAAACGAAGAAAAAATAATTTACCATATTTTGTGTAGCACGACCACGAAGAAGTTTTTGTAGATAAATAATACTTTTTTCGCGTTCTTCATCTTCCTAAAAAATAATAAATATATTTTTGTTTTAGAATAAAAAATAATAAACATACCGGATTAGGTACATCGACGCTAGGTGTTGGTGGTCTTGGTATTGGTTTTTCGACTTTAACCAAAAATCGAAGTGGTTTTGGTTCTTCGAGTTTTTTCTCTTTTTCTGCAGCAATATCCTAATATATATTTACATTAATATGATTTTATTTCCGCATCTTTGATGTTCGTATAAACGTTTCCTCTTAGTCATGTCTACAAGCTTCCAATCTAACAAAGGATAGTTAGAAGTGAAAGCTAAGTGTAACTTAATTATCCATTGGTTATTAGATTTTAGTTCGAATTTGAATCAAAAACCTATGAAGCTGAAAAGTAATGCAGCAGTGTATAAAAAGATTTTTTTAATTTTTATATAATTTGTTTCTTATAGGATTTTGGTTTTAGTCAATCTTGTTTGAGCTTAGTATTGGCCCGATTTAGTCTATATCAGGGTAAAAAAACAACGAAAGAATGAAATTTAGTAGAAGAAAGTTCTTGAGAGTGTTCTACGACTGCTACCAAGTCATTAGGATTAGTTCTAATAGCGTGACAAACAGAATCAGGACCGAGACCGAAAGGCTCGGCTTCGGCGCATTCCTAGTTTTTTTCTTATTTTTGCATAGTATATATCATTAACAGTGGTACTGGTGATATGACGAACTATACAAACTCTAGAATCAATTAATAAAAGTATCAAATCAAAGATCAGCATAGATTAGAACTTTTGATTGTTCTATTCTGAAGAGCAACTATTGAATGATGATAGAAATCGTTTGAACTCATATTCTACTCATCTCAATGATAAATTAGTATACTCAGTATCATTTTTTTATATTTTGGTTGTCACAATCCTTGAAATATTTCATAGAGACTCTAAGCTAGGATCTTCAATGAATAAGAAAATTTTCTATTTAAATCTAGATTTTATAGCAGAATGGGTTTTTTGTTTACCGCTAGACTTAAAACTACTATCAACTCCACGTAAAAAATCTAACCTTGAATATATTAGTCAGATCTCTTTCACGTCGAAAATGTCGTTTAAGATGTCCATCTTTAGTTGTAGCAAGTCTTTTCGGTTCTGGAAGACGAATCTTCAATGCATTTGATGGCAACGTTGATTCAAGTTCAAGTAAGCCTGTATATGTATCCAAAAATCGACTTTTCACTAAATATTTATCTGTGAGTTTATCTGGAAAATAACCATTTCGTGTTAATGGACCATAAGCTGCTGATTCAAATTTTGTATAATCACGAATAATATCATTTTTAATATATTTTGTTTCAATTTGTGATCGTTTTTTAAGTAAACCTCGTATAGCTAAATAAATTTAATTTAGTTTTTTTTTTAAAACAAAAAAGAATTTTTACCTCGTAAATAATGAAGACGATTTGTTTTAACAAATTCTTCACGTTGAATTTGTTTCTTACTCCATTGTCGATTAATACGTTCAATAGCTCCATCATGTCGACGAGTTTCATTATCTTTAAGCATTTTTTCTAATAATTCAATACGAAGATTTTGTAATCTATTCGGGAGAAGAAAACAAAAATAGAAATTTTTTTATTTATTAAAAAACAAAAATTTTACTTTTCAATTTCATTTTCTCGTAAAAGCCATTCATGTCTTTCCATATCACTCATCATTTTAAATCGTTTTTCCCATTGTTGAGGATCATCAAGTGGTGGTAAACTTGCTTCCCATTGACGTTTAGCACGTGCACCTAACAAACAAAAAGAATGATTATTTCTATATTTAAATATTTCAATTATTTACGTTCAATCATTTCTACTTCTGCAAGACCAGCAGGAAGACCTTTTTCTGAAAAAAAATATATCATTAGTAAAGACTGAATAGATTTTTTTTTTATTTTGAAACATACTATACATAAGAGTAGCCAATGTTAATACTTCTGGTTGTTCACCTGGTTTCACAACATATTCAGGTGTATATGGATCAGTTTGAGCTTCACGTTCCATATAATCAGTTTGAATAGCTTGTGTTCTTGTTGCTGGTTGTATAGATGACATCATTGATTTTCCTGGACTAAGAAGTCCTGTACCAGGGTGTCCTGTCATATCAACAAAAGTACCTGTACCTGATCGACCAGTATCGAGTACTAGAAGTGGTTGAACACTTTCCATAAATGGTATAAGTGGTTTACGAAAGAATTTTGAACGTTCACGACCTCCCACATCAACATGATCATAAGTTCGTGGTGGTACAACGAATGCATCATTACCCGTAAAACTAAATATATATATAGATAAATAAGTAATTAAAGATAAATTATATTTACAGTCGAGATAGAGCAATTTGGTCTCGATGCGCTTCTGCTTGTCCTAACCATTGACGACTGACATGTGTTGGAACAGGATCTCGAGATTGTAGTCGATAAGCAAAACGAGGGTATTGACGTAAATCACTGAATAAATGTTGATAAACAGGTACAGCTTGCTATAAAAAAGGAATTTATTACAAAGATATTTTAACAAAATGTTCTCTACATACCACTTGTTCAGTACCAGTTTTCGCTACAAATGTTGCTCGAGCATGATCACGAACTCCTGATAATGTACATAGAGGATCTAAAAATAATTAAAAAAATATTACATATAAAGTTCATAATTATCTTGAAAAGATCTTAACAAACCATAGAGATAATCATGAATTCGTGCTGGTTGAACAGCATTACGTTTGAGAACTTGAGTTTGAGTTGCCATCTATCTTTATATAACCGTAAACTATTTTCCTATATTAGATATACGAATAACAACATTAACCATTGTAACTAACGGAACCATAGTAACAATATTCATTAGAAATAATTAAGTACAAAATCTAAAGATTTCTATTACATTTAAGTAAGATCAGTCCTACTCTCTTTAAATATATATATATATATTCCTACTTGTATTATAAAATCTAGAAAAAGTAGATGTCACTAATATAAAATCAAACTGTATTCATATAACTTTTATTGATATTATTTACAAAAATGACAGTTCTATATACAATAATAAATCAAATATTATCTTTTATTATTTAATTTAGAGTACGTTGTGATATTGTATTTAATGGAACACGAATTCGTCTTCGTTTTTTTAAACACCAATGTACTGTTAAAAGAAATTTCGAACGAAAGTACGGTGATGTTAAACAATAAATATAAAATCCAATACCAAAATAAACACTACTCCAAAGAAGCATTGGTGTACGTATATGATCAATTGATGATTTATAACGTACAATAGTCGTATAGATATGAAATGGAATTTGTGTTAGAATAAATGCTAATACATTTGAAATTGTTATAAATATAAGCATTGTTTCTGTACTTGTTGAATGATGTGGATTTGATGAACGTGGTGCAACACGACGTTTTGATTCACGTATTCGACGCCATAATAATATATTTGTTGTAATCATTATTACAGCAGGAATAATACAAACAACAATAGTACGAATAGGTGGCCATATAATCGTTAGAAATTTATTATAAATTGTATTCGATGTTGTTATACAAATTCCATTATCATCTTCATTCATATATGGAAGTAAATAAAATGTTAATGAAAATGTAAAAATAAATAAATAAATCAGAACAATTCTCCATGCTATACGACATGTACAAAAATATTTTGCACGTGCTGGGTAAATTGCACGAAACATACGATCAAAACTAATTGTACAAGCTATATACGAACTTAATGCACGAAAAATATTTTGAAGCCAATAAATAAAACGACATCGAATTAAAGCAAGATGAATAAATCGAACTAAAAAAGAAATAATATGAATAGATTTATATGAGATAAAATATTGCTTACCATTATAAGCAACATCAATAAATTCAATAATTAATGTTAGTAATTGAATATTATTTGATATAGTTAATAATAAAAAAAGTAGTCCAGTTGATACTCGACGTATTTCAATACGAATAAAAATTGTTAGCGATAAAAAATTTCCTATAAAACCACCTAAATAAATGATTGTGCCAAGGATAGCTGTTATAGCTATTTCTTCATCTGTTACTATATCATCTTCTGTTGAATTTAACATCTCTCTTATTTCATACGTATGAATAAAATAACTAGATTATGAATATTTGTAAAAGTAATTTAGTTTCTTTTTTTATCTTTTATTTAAATAGAAAATAAATCATAATAAATTATATGAAAATATATAAATCATTATTTATTCAAATTTGATAATTAATGATTATAGCCAGGCATTTCATAATTTGCTTCACGTGATGAATTATTTAATCCAAATTTTCGATATAAAAAGATTATTTCAACAATTAGTAGCACACTAATTATAGTTATACCAAAACCCATACCTAATTTTGCAGGTAATCCTGGTGGTGAATCACCTAAGTACAACAAATATACACATATTATAGATTTTATTAGATTTTATTACCTTTTTTATAATTTATTGGTATTGGTATTGGTGTTGTATTTGACATATCTAAAATGATATTTAATCAAATGATTTATAGTCTATTGAGATAAACATACCTTCGATTAATATTGGACCTGATTTAGCTATTACATTTACCAAAGAACCATTTATATCTTGTAATTGAAACGGTACTGATGATAATACTGCACTATTTTTTATACATATAAGATCACAATCTTTTCGTAGACTTTCAAATAAATTATCCGTAATCATATCGTATTCATAAAAGGTACTTCTATTTATTTAAGAGAATAGAAAAAAACAAATTTTTATTTTGTTCTAAATATCACGAAGTGAATTACTTTGCCTGAGATCTTATTTCAATACGTTTAATATCGATTATAAAATTTGATAAATTAAATGAAGATTTAACCTATATAGATCAAATATAATATATCATTTTGAAATTAAAAAATATCTGTACCATATTGTGCACACTATTTAAAATTGTAGAATTAGTAAAATTTCCTATTTTTAAAGGGGATGAACTATTGAGAGTAAATTTAAACATTAACTTGACACTGATCGCTAGAATATAAAAATAATTTTATTATATATTTTAATAAAATAATACCCATTGGAGTAGTAGTAGATGTAGGACTTGTATTAGGTGATGTTGTTGATGTAGATGATGACGAAGAATGTTCATGCGAGGAAATTGAAGTTGCTGAGGATATATATGTTGACGAAATGTAAGAATTTGTAAGTGTAGTATCGGTCATTGTTGATATCGATGGATTCGTTGCTAAAGATGTGGATGTTTCAATAGAAGATAAGTATGATGTCGATCTGGACGTTTCTATCATAGCCGATGAAGCAGTAGAATCTGATATCGATGTGTACCCACTATGATTAGGTGATGTACTTGTATCATTCGCTTGAATTTGTACAAATACCACGAAAGTTAAAATAATAATTTGTAGTAAATAGGAACACATTTTTTTTTGTTTTTGTAAAATAACGACTAACTTCGTCTGAATGAAAAAAACAACTGAAGATATAATTCTTTTTATCAGTATTTGTCATAAATGATTAACGAAGAAAAAAAGTGATGAATGTCCTTTCATCATTTTTCTTTCCCTTCCTGTTTTTAATATACAGAAAAAAAATTATGAGAGAGAATATTTTCCAACAAATATTATAACAAACATTCATTTAAAGTATAGATCCTTTTTACAAGAATGAGTAATGTCATACTAACTAAATATTAACTCAATTTCTTTTACTCTTACAATTATGAACGTCAAGGTTGTTTTTATCGTAGATTGACATAAACATTCTGTTACTGAGAAATTTTAAACGATCTCTTATCAAATGATTAAGATTTACTTTATGAAAGCTTTTAAATTATAGCTTATGTCAATATATTTTAGTAAATACTTCTTCAGGCTTTATTGACAATAATTTATTATGTCTATAAAAAATAAAATATCATGATTTTTAAAATGTATTTTAAGATAAATATGTTATTATGAAAAACATTATATTATGTTTTAGAATTTTTTTCATTTTTCTTAAAGAAATCAGTTTTGTTGATATTAATGATGATCACACATATATCAAAACCATTCGTTTTATTTTAACGTTAAGAAAAAGGACTAGCAGATAAAAGACTTAGTATTTATATAAAGTATTTCAATTATTCTAGCTATTTTTAATCAACCATATTCAACTGAAAAATGCCGATATATGTCAATTTATAAAATATAACATAACTCTACGAGTGAATTCGTCAAATTTTTTAGGAAATATGTTCTACGGTCAGTTAAATAATTAAAATATCATTAAATATATTAATTGGTCAATTTTTAAAAAAAATCAGTAAACAATTTAAAAGTGGTCTGTAGATTTTGTGGAAGTAGCAGTGAAAAAATATGATTTTTGTCAGTAAAAAAAGAAAAGTAGTACATCTTTGCACAAGTTTATATTTTTTCACTTTCCATTTCATTTTATTTACTGATCGTTTAAATTTTATTATGAACCTATCAAATTAATTACTAACCATTTCAATAATTTTAATGACAATTCAATAATTCTACTGATTTTTGATTTTTTTGTTTTACTGACCGTTTCATTTATTCTACTGACCACTTAAATGACACCCAATTTTTTAATCGTTTACTGAAATATGACAATATAATACTGTTTAGATCAAGCTGATATACTAATACGGTCAACTTTACGAGAGCGCTTCTTGTGTTAATAGTTTTTGTTATAATAAACAAAGAAACTTATGTTTAAATATATTATTAACTAACTGAAATAGATGTATTATGCAATAGATTATGACTTCTTCTACAAACCTTTACATATCATCCGGTTCTGTAATCAAAACATCGTAACCATCTGTGTATATTAGGATAATCAGTTTTCGCTAAAAAAGCATCGATAGTTGTCGCACATATTCGAAATAGTTATAGATACGAATTGTAAGTGGCCGAAAACTAAGCTAGCAAAGAATCCTAGATCATGAGTCATTTTGTACTTTTACTTCTGTCTCTCGCTCTCTGTGTCTCTCTCTTTCGATAGATAAAAGTAGATAAAACATCTATTTTCGTACTCTTTTCAAATTGAAAAAATGGTGTTAGAAAATATTATAGTAAGATTTCGTTTTTGTTTTTTATCTATGTTGATTATTATCGATTTATTTCAGGTACCATCACTTTATGTAATTAAAGGTATTATTATTTTAGATAACGATGGCAATCGTATATTCTCTAAAGTAAATATATTTACATAGAAATTTCTAAATCTTTGTTTTGTTTTTCATTCAAATTTAGTATTATAGTCAATCATTTTCAACAGTAAAAGAACAAAAAGAATTTGAAAAATCATTATTTAATAAAACCCATAAAGGTACTGGAGATGTTATTCTTCTTGATAATTGGACAATTGTCTATCGAAACAATGTTGATTTACTTTTCTATGTAATGGGTAGTACAAATGAAAATGAAGTATAGTTATTAAAATATTGACATATAGAAAAAAAATAATATATATATATTTATTTAGTTAATGTTAAATAGTGTTTTAACATGTTTATTTGATTCATTAAGTGGAATGTTACGAAAGAATGTTGAAAAAAGATTTCTTTATGATAATCTTGATTTAGTTATATTGACAATTGATGAAATATGTGATGAAGGGTTTAGTATTTAATATATGCCTTTTTTTGTACTAAAAAATAGACGATTCTATGTATTTTTAGAATTATTCTCGAATCAGATCCAATGGTAATCATGCAACGTGTTCAGATACGTCAAGATGATATCCCATTAGGCGAACAGACTGTTTCTCAAGTAAGTAAATTAGTTAATTATGAAAATTATTCGAATATTCTTGTCGATCAGATTTTAAAGCAGGGATTAACTGCATTACTCAATAGTGATGGATAGAAATTTTATGTGTATGTTTCTATAAAGTTTTGATTTTGCTTGATTTCTTGCTTCTATAATTCTTTCTACATTCATAATAAGAACATGTGTTAATAATGATTATTTTCTTAGGTACTCAATCATGCGAAAGAGCAAATCAAATGGTCATTACTCAAATGAATGAAATTAGATAAAGACATTTTCTTATGATTCTTTTATTTGTTTTTCATTTTTCTTTTTTTTTAAATAAAATTTCATCTGTAGTTGCTGCTTTATAAAAAAAAGAAAATTATTTTATATCTTTATGATAGTTTATTTTTGATCATGGATGCTCCTCCAACTATATATGGTCTTCGTCGACAAGAACGTATGAAATGGTGGATTGAATTTATTGGATTTTGGTAGATTTATTTTATAAAATAAGTTATGTTTATGCATGAAATCTACATCTTTTAGGCTTCTTGGCCTATGTAATAATTTTGGTTATGTAATAATGTTAAGTGCTGCACATGATATTCTAAAAGAAGAAGAAGGTACTAATTCGACTCAACCTGTACCAAAAAATACAACAAATGAATTTGACTGTAATCCAGTATCGACAGGAGTGAGTAAATAAGAAAAACTATTATCGAGCAGTTAAAATATTTCATTACGTAATAATAATAATTATTATTTTTCAGGCTATTCTTCTTGCGGATGTTATACCAGCGTTAATCATCAAAGTAACAGCTCCATTCTATATGCAGCGAATCCCATACAAGTAAGCGTGAAGCTTTTTCTCGTTATAATAAAATACTTTTCTATAAATTTATTCAAGTATTCGCTTTGTTTTAATGGTATTATTTTCTGCTGGTTCTCTGATCATTGTTGGTACTGCAAGAATTGTTGCTTTAAGTTTAGTCGGTGAGTATATCAACAAAGTTCATGAAGTATAATGGAAAACTTTAAAAAAATCATTTATCAAAGGGGTGGCATGTGCAAGTATCAGTTCAGGTTTTGGTGAAATTACAATTTTACAACTGTCATCATTTTATTCAAAAGATACAGTTAGTGCGTGGTCAAGTGGTACAGGTGGAGCTGGCTTATTTGGTTCTCTTTCTTATGCTCTACTAACTGGTCCAATTGGACTGACACCGAGAACTACTATTCTCATTCTACTTTTTATACCTGCTCTTCAAGTAGTAAGGTAAAAGAAAGATAATGACATAAAGAAATATAAATGAAAGTTATTATATATTAAGTTACATCATGGTTGGGGCTAGTCATGCTGTATCGAAACATCGGCAATATCAACAAATAGCTGGAAGTAGTACTACTGCGGATACCGGTAGATACAAAAATAAAGTTGATTTATAATAAAATATCTATACTCTTTTTTATACTTAGATAATGAAGTTGATGAAAATCCAACAGTTCTTCCAAGTCGACTTGCACTAGTTAAAGTAAATAATTATTAAAAGCGGTTTTTTTTTATATTAATTGATTTACTGCAGCCATTACTCAAATATATGATTCCATTGACACTTGTTTATTTCGCGGAATATTTAATCAATCAAGGATTAGTAAGTATACTATTTAATAGTAAATTCACGTCTAAAGTATTATATTAATATTTTTCTTCATATAGTACGAACTCGTCTACTTTCGCAATATTAAGCTAAAACATTCAGATCAATATCGTTGGTAAGTACCTATAGAAACAGCGGAAATGAAGAAAAAAATCTTGTATGTTTAAAATTTATATTCAAGATTAGAAAAGTTTAATTAACCGATAAATTAGTTTCGAATATAGAATTTCATCACCTAAAGTACTAATGAACTTATAGATTACATAAATTCTTTATTTTCAGGTTCTCTGTAACTTATCAATTGGGTGTTTTCCTTTCACGTTCATCTGTAGCTCTCTTTCGAATTCATCATCTGTGGGTTTTACCTATTATTCAAGTAAAATTCTTTTTAGTTTACATATTATTTTCTTTATTTTGTATGTCTATCTCTTCTTAGTTTACTAATTTGGGTCTATTTTTTGCTTGTATCTATCGCACGGCATATATACCAAGTATATGGCTTGTTTTCGGATTAATTGTATTCGAAGGTTTAATTGGTGGTGGAGCGTATGTTAATACCTTCTACAAAATATCCATTGAAGTATGATTTTTAAATCTAATGTACTATATTTCAATTTATATCCTTTAGATTCCTGAACGAGATCGTGAGTATTCAATGGGTGTTGCATCTATAGGTGATTCATTTGGAATAACAGCTGCTGGTTTATTAGCAATTCCACTTCATAATGCAATTTGTCGATAGTTTTCATGACAATATTCGTTTTTTTATGTTTAGCTTTCTGTGTGAAAATTAATTGTTTACAACTATTTTTGATAAAAACCAGTGCAATTCTTCTTTTTTTTTTCATTTTGGTAATTTTTTTAGATGGCTGAAAACGATTTTCAAAATAAAACAGTATGTGTTACAGGTGCCGGAAGAGGTCTGTTATTTGAGTGATTATTTATTTTGTTATATCGAAAGAAAAATATTGTTTAGGTATTGGTAAATCATTGGCTTTAAGACTGGCTGAACTTGGAGCTAAAGTTATTGCAGTTAGTAAATCTGATGAGAATTTAAAACAACTTGTTGCACAAGTAAAATATTTAAATTTTGATTTATTCTATTGAATATATATTTATATGTATTATATTTTAAATAGAATAATAAGATCATTCCAGTATGTGTTGATTTATGTGATTGGAATGCAACTAAAGAAGCTATTAAACCACATCTTCCAATTCAATTATTAGTTAATAATGCTGCTGTTGCTATTCTTGATTCATTTTTAGACGTTAAGCCCGATGATTTTGATTCGTATGTAATAGAATTTAAATCGATATGAAATATTTATATTGTTCTTTTATCTTACATAGATTATTTAATATCAATGTCAAATCCATTATATGTGTTAGTCAGGTATTTTGTAGTTAAAATTATCTAATATAATAATAAGAATAACGATTTTAATAGGAAATAGCACGTGATTTAATTGAACGTAAAATGCCTGGTTCAATTGTTAATGTATCGAGTCAAGCAGCATCAGCAGCACTTAAAGATCATAGTATTTATTGTGCATCAAAAGCAGCCGTTGATGGTTTAACACGTGTAATGGCAATGGAATTAGGTGCTCATCAAGTAAGAGTATCTCTCACATACATTTAACTACGACTAGTTTGTTTGTTCTAGATTCGAGTCAATAGTGTACAACCAACAGTAAGACTTCTACGTTCATAAAGTCATTTTTCATTACTTTTATTTGTTATATATAGGTTGTTTTAACGGATATGGGCCGTATAGGTTGGTCTGATGAAAAGAAAGCTGCTGGAATGTTATCAAAGATTCCATTAAATAAATTTGCCGGTTTGAAAACATTAAAATTGTATTTTCATGAATATTCTATTCATTTGTATAGAAGTGGAAGATGTTGTTGAGCCAATTATCTTTTTACTCTCAAATAAATCTCAAATGATTAATGGCGTTAGTTTACCTATCGGTAATGTAAACTAATTTCATTTTCAAATGAACTAAATATTATGATATAACATAATTCTAATTGTTTTTTCTTTATAGATGGTGGATTTTTAGCCACATAATAACTTACAAACAATAATGGTTCACTGTCATAATTATATTTATCTGGTAGCTTTAGCATGCACTGTTTATTTCGTAATTAACTTGATTTAATTCGATGCAATAATTTTGAATCGTAGTTTTTCTTTTGAAAAGTATTCGTTATTTTAATAAATTTTATGAAAGTTGCGATAGTGAGGAACATATATTGTAAATCATATATCAACGATAGAATGCCTATTATTAAAGACATAGGTAAGGTATGCCATATCAACAGAAGTGTTTGATATATTAATTATGATACTAGCTATAATATGAAATCATCTTGATGATTTAGATGTGAGCGTTAACTTCATCGTTGCTTTGATCCATACTCATTCTCAACATTTCCATCCTTTCTGAATTTGAGGGTGGGTGTGGGTGTGGGTGTGGGTGATATAAGTGCCGGTATGGGTTTGGACCCGAATGAAGTATACACTCACACCCATACCCACACCCTAATATTACAGGCTGAAAAGTTTTATTTGTGGTTATTTATTATAATTATGAAATTATTCCTTTCACCGTTAAATTACGAGATGTAGTCAAGAAATTATTGTCTTCACACTCATTTTTGTGCTAAATTCTAAACTCAGTAAGGTACTTAATGCGGTGAAGTAGATTATTTCATTTTTACTGACCCTAAGGTATATGAAGGTGAGACTGTTTTGCTCTCCCTTACTATCACGACTAGTTGAAAACACGATTGAATTGATAAATACCCGAATTCATCTTTGGTCTTTACATTTATCCACCGAAAGACAAAAAGTAACACAACACTTGCTACTTACTATTGAGTTATAAAATAATTTCCTTCTCTTCGTACGAGAGTGGCAATAGTTTTTTCTGAAAAGGAAAATGCACCAATAATAGCAACAATTATTTGTTCCAATACTGTGAATGTAAAAAACGATAATAGACAACTTTCTTCCGGGAAAGAGTCTAAGGATGAGAATAAATAAGTTTTTGTCTAAGAAAAAAATGTAACAATGACAGCAAAAAATATTCATTTCGATGTTACGAATGTATGAACGAAGATAGACAACTCCTTTTTTGCGTAAAAGACTGAAGTAAAAACAAAATACGTATTCTTCAGCAAGGAGAGTACAGGAATGAGAGCAAGAAGTATTCTTTCCAATATTCACAATGTGAGAACGGTGATGTGCAAATTTGTTTTCTGAAAAAGTGTCTGAAGACAAGAGTAAATAAGTTTTGTTCAGAAAAAAATGTAACAACGGGAGCAGGAAATATTCCTTCCAACATTGACAATGTACAAACGATAATAGACAAGTTTTTTTTTTTGGAAAGAGTCTGAGAACGAGAGTAAATAAGTGGCTTTTTCCGGAAAAAGAACTGAGAAATGAGTGAAAAAAGATTCTTTTAACGAAAAGAATATAATTATGATGATGGACAAGGATTTTCTGAGAAAAAAGTGCAAAAAACACAAACAAAAAACAGTTTTTTTAGGAAGTAGAATGTATGAATGAGAGTAAGTTATGTTCACAGAAAATGCCTGCATGTTTTGCTCACTTTCTGCAACCAAAAATAAAAGTAATCCTTGCAGGATCAGGGATTTTCAGAGAAGAAAAATCTTTCTTCTAGTAATAGGTAAAGCGAAAGTCTAACGAGTAGTATGATAATTATAGCGAAGATGCTCGTAGTGTGTATCTAGCATCTTTAAACATGTTATTAGTGGATTTTTTTCAGCCATGTTTTAGTGTTCCAAAAGCTCTGTAAAAGTAATATTGTTCTTTGTTAATATTTAATTAGAACAAAAATCAACTCTTTCTATTATCTACTGCAGTAGTACTACTACGGTCTGCTATGCTAAACAACATCAGTCTCTTGATACATCTTTTACTCATTATCTTTTTATAAACATACTACCAACAATCGATATAAGATGATTTTACTCAACATCATTTTACTTTTCTTAAGACGTTTAGCTCTCGTTTACTTGTACTGAGAGAACTTTATTAACTAGTAAACGAGTAATATTGCTGATACAAGAAACAGCATACTAGGAAAAAATCGTTGATGCAAGTATATGTTGACATATCATCATTACTATATAAATCATTCCTTTGTTCGCTAATAAAATGGTCTTTAAAACCTATTCTTTTAATCTTTTTCTACAGCATAAGTATGGGAGTACTTGCCTAATTCGACTTATAATATAAATGAAACGAAAAACAATTTATAGGCACACTTTATACCTATAAAAATTATTTTATCGATTTTTCATTTATCTAATTGTGATAAAAAACACTTTACTATAGGTTAGTAAAAGAAAAGAAGAAAGGTTTTTTTAAATCGATTTGTCATTTAAATAAATGTGATAAACAAACATTTTACTATAGGTCAGGAAAAAGAAAAGAAGAAAGGTTTTTTTAAATCGATTTGACATTTATATAAATGTGATAGAAAACACTTTACTTTAGGCCAGGAAAAGAAAAAAAGAAAAGTTTTTTGAATCCATTATCATTGATAGAAATGTTTCTATGATTGCTATAAAACAATATATTAATAGTTTGTTTTATTATTTATTTTCGAAATGAGAACAATCTTCTGACTGTTCATTTATATTATAAGTTGAATTACATATTTCATGAAGTATGTGTAAGTAGCAAATATGACTCACTAAGATAATTAAGTTAATTTAATTTCGTATCGGTTATGATATACAATAGATAATTTAGAATTTAATCACTATTAAGTTTCAATAATTACTTGATTTAAGTTTTATTTCTTTTTTACTTCGCTTCATGCGAAGATAAATCCATAGGGTGTATGACGTCTCGTATTACCCTTTACGGGCATCTCACACCATGATCGGGTGTTCAGAATCAAAAATATTTTGAAGATTTTTCATAGGAGTTCGTAAAATTAACTTTTTTAGAGATCTATGCCGGGAGGTCGGAAATAAACTTTATTTTTGAAGGTTATTAGGGATGTTCAGAAATACTATTTTACATAAGATCGTAACAGAAAAAGTAAGATACGTAGGTGTCGATGTGGATGTAAGTATGGAGTGTAGGTGTGGCTATGAGGGTGTGGATGTAAGACATGAACAAGGTGCACACCCACACTCACATCCACGCCCATACCATCAATATATTTCATTACGGACATCCTGCTTGTTTAATTTAATTTTGTCATTCCGAAATCCTTGACGAAAATTTTGAATCATTTTTTTGTTGAAAGTTCGTAACAGACATCTTCTACGGGAGTTCGGAAAAACGAAGTGGTACGAAACGTCATTTTCCCTTAGCCTGCAAAACGTGTTAAACCAGTTAAATCTTCATCAGCCCAAACGTTCAAACGTGTTAAAGATCAAATTTTCGTAAACTGTTTTAATGCGTTTTTGGTGACTAATGACACTGTTTAATATTTTACATACTGAGATGTTTAAATGTCATTTTTACCGCTTTGTTGTCTGTTTAGGGTTGCATTCTTTAATGTTATGAAAGAAAGGAAACGGTGGCAGCAGTATCTAATGAGAGTATAACTAGTATAAACAGTACTGCTTTACCTTTCAGTCAGTTATACTGTCACTGTAAGTTTTTTTCTAGATTTATAACTCAGAAAGAATTGAACATTTCTATTCTTTGATAAAGAAAACTCTTTACTGATGGCTGTCATCGGAACTCGTCCAAACCAATTCAGTAACCAGTCAACAATAGCGTCGATGTCACCAGAGTTGAATTATGAAGACATAACATTAATTTGGTTAGATGAAAATGTCAATGAAAATATCGATTGTTTGGATACAAAATGTCACCTAAACACCATTGCTAACTATTTGAAAGTGTTTGCAGATCCTCAGAAAACAATCGATTTTATTCGATCAGCACATAATGAACACATATTTCTTATTGTCTCTGGATTGTTCGGTAAAAGCGTAGTGCCACAGATTCATGATGTACAACAATTAAAAGTGATTTATATCTTTTGTTTGGAGAAAGATAAACATGCTGAATGGGCAAATGCGCACAAGAAAGTATCGGGTGTATTTGTAGATAAAAATGAGATGTTTCATCATTTGATTAACAAAATCCGGGCATATGAAAAGAATTTATCCGTAATGAGTATATTCCAAAGAAAAGACACGAATATTGCGGAAAATTCCATTCGAGATTACGAAACTGAAGGTAATATTACACTTATGTGGCTCGAAGTGTTCTTCTACATCCTATTACATTTTCCAATTGATAAAGATCTAGCAAAACGTGATATGATCAACGAATGCCGTTCGTACTACAAAAATGATCGAATAGAACTGAAAAAAATCGCTGAATTTGAGGAAGGTTATTGTCCAGATACGGCTATACATTGGTACACACGTGATTCATTTGTCTTTCGATTAGTCAACAAAGCACTGAGGACGCGAGACATAGATATTATTTTCAAATTTCGATTTTTTATTATAGATCTTTATCAGCAATTGAAGCAACGCCATACAAATTATATTCAATCTTTAACTTTCAACAATTCGAACAACATAATTCGTACGGTGTATCGTGGTCAGCAGTTGGGAAAGAATGAAATAGAAAAACTCAAAGATAGTGTTGGCAGTATTATTTGTCCGACTTCTTTCTTTTCAACTACAGACAACTTTGTCTTGGCGCAATCGTTTGTCGAAGGATGCCCTAATTCGGAATGTGTTATTTTTCAAATCGATATTCCTCAATCGTACTATGATAATATTGCAAGATCTTTGTCGTATGCGCAACCATTTTTAAAATTAGACGAGCTCAGTCAATTCGAGAACGAGAATGAAATCATCTTTGCCATGGGAACATTATTTCGGATTGAATCGTTCGAAGAGTATAGCAAGTTACTCGTTTATTTAAAACTCGAAGGAGACAATGATGAAGTAAATGAGATGTATCATATATGTAAAGAAAGAAACAACAAAAAGCATGACTGGCAAAGTCGAAGGAATGTTGATGATCGAATTCTGTTATTAACTGAACAATTACCAGAATCATGTCGAAGTCTTGTCGCTTTTTATATCAAAGACGGTATGTTAGCTGATGAAAATAACATAACAACTGATAAAACCTTATCGACATATCGAAAAGGATTCGATTTACTGATCAAATGCTTGCCTGACTATTACTATGTCCTTACTATCGCCATGTATTTAAGTGTAGGAAGTTTGTACAGGAACAAAGGCGAACATACTTTAGCCTTGCAATTTGGCGAAACAGCTCTACATATAGCTAAAACTCATTCAGATATTCTATATGATGCCATACTTATTTGTTACAATTATCTTGCCGTACTTCGTTCATTGGAAGACCAACACACAGAAGCAATGTTGATGTACGATCAAATGCTTTCAATTGCAGCCAGACAAAATAATGATTCAGCTCTTGTTGCTATCTACAATCACAGAAGCCTGTTTAAGCCTGAATATGGAGATTATGATTGCGAGCTTCTCTGTTTGAAAAAGAAAGCAGAAATTCAAAGGGAACTAGGTTGTGACAATGTCGCAAACACTCATCTGCTTTTTGGAAATTTATATCAGAAAACAGGTAATTTCCGCGTCGCATTGCAATATTATAAGCAAAGTTTCTTGTGTTCGATACAACAAAATGCATCTACAGAAGATTTAAGACGGACTTATGAACTGATTGGAGATATGTACTTCTACCAACATCATTACATAGCTGCGTTACATGTTGAAATACGAACTCTTCAAGCAACAATTTTATCACAATCGGAACAAGATCAATTCATTCTTTGCAAATACGAAAAGTTGATGCGATCTATTCAACGTTTACTTAAATGGAGTCATCCGATAAAACTGAGAGCCTGTTTTCAATTCATCATGTCGAAGTCACCATCTTCAATAATTTTCAGGAAATATGTCGACAAAATCCGATTTTTATACTATTTCCAATTCGATACTTCGACCTTATTAAAAGCATCTTTGAATAGATTACTCACACAAGTAGTGACGGAGTATCGTCATCGACGTGATTATGAAACATCCTTAAGAAATATACTATGGCAAATCAAACGATTTCTTCAAATAAAATCGACGTGCTTTGCAAAGATCTATCACAATGCACAATTCTTACACAACTTCAAAATCGAACTCAGTGTCTATCAGCAAAATCTTGACTTAGCCCATCAGATGTATTTCTCAAATAATCAAACCAATTCAAGGAAAAACAAAGAATATTCCGCATCTGTTTCATGCATGGCAACCAAGATAGAAAAACTTATTGATGACTTTATTCGTTCTTCTCACATGACTTTATGCGAAGACAGGGCACTACAAAAATCTCGACTTCCTCATCGATCACCATCAAGATATCGATATCGCTTTTGCGGTTGTTTCAAAGATGCAGCTGTTATATTCCGTCGTTCTACAAGACGTTGGAGTCAGTTTTCGGTGATTTAAATATTCTTGAGGGTGTGGGTAATTAGTATGATCGTTCTTCGTCTATAACTGCATCCACATCCACCATCTAGCCACACTCACATGCACCCACACTCCACCCTAGTGCTTAGAAAGAACATGCAAAATACGTAAGCATTGGCAGTTGTTTGACTAGCGCGGTCATGTGTATGTGTGTGGGTTCAATTAACTTGAGTGACATCGCTCTAAAACATAGTCACAGTCTCTCACATATACTCCTCAATTTTCTTTTCAACAAAGTAATTTTTCAGTTCTATTATATTGTATTACATTACAGAGACTAAACAACATCGATCTAACGTTTAAAACATACAAGCTTTTTTAACAACACGTCGAAATTCATTTCTAAAAGTCTTTGCCGTTGCAAAATAAACATAGAAGCTTAAACAGGTTGGTAGAAACAAAAGTAGAACAAATAAATTATAAATAAATAATTCAACAACTAGTCTCTGATAAGATTTTTCATAATTGCGTGTGACGACTGCATATACTTGAAAAACAGATGATGGGATTTGACATGAGACAGTCACTAATACTTGTGTAAGAAGCATAACAATCAATTGACGTTCTTTCTCATTAGGACGATATTGCAAGATATCATTTATTGGCAGAACTGTATTGAGAAAACGAATTAAATTGGTTAATGTGATGAACCTATCAAAAGAATAACACATTATTTATCAAAGAATCGTTATCTCTTGAAAAGAGACTGAAAACTTACCCTAAAATGATCAATATTATCGGTGGTAGAAGTCCATAGCTAACTGCAAAAAAGACAAAAATAAAATTATTGAAAAAATTGCCAGGTAGTGGCGTGCAAATTGGTTGTCCAGTTGGACGTTGTTCAATATCAGTATAGATCAAGGCAGGAATATTGAACAGTAACCAGAATAGTGTTACACCACAAATAGAATAAACAGCCACTTTGACTGAACTATACTGACGAATAATCAATCTTCTTGAAGTCGCACAGGTACGATCGAATACCGCTAAAATAAGAAAAGCAGGTAGTAAGTTAATTGTTACGTAAATTATGTAAGTGCGAATTTGACAGGCAGTCTGTAATTGTGTGCCAAGATCAGTTGAGAAGCCAATGCTAAGTGAAGCTGTGAGTGCAACGAAATCAACCCAACAGATACTAACAATAGTATAGGCTAGTATATAAATTGAACATGGATTTGTACGAAGATAAGGTTGGAGGAAAACAATTAAATTAAATAGGTTTCCTACTGTGCCAAATGCTATAAATAATGGCAACAAATAGTGATGCAGACAATACTGAGCAGTGTTCAGAGTAATCAAGAGATTTTCTGTTGGAAACGACATTCTGCTTCGTGTTTTACTTCAGATATAAAAATACTAGATTCTCAAACAAAAGAACTTTTCTTTTATATGTGTCTATATGAAAGATATATTCACTCTTTCTTCTGCAGTGTGTAGCAGCTGTATGGATGTGTCAACAGAATTTATTTAATAAAAGAGACTCATTTTTTCTCTCAAAAAAAATCTCTATAGTAATTATCATCTGAGGATAATAGAAACTTCAATTAACTTTGAGATGATTATGATACAAGCTTATTTTTCTGAAACGGTATGACGTCTTCGATAATAACTTAAGCGCTAAATGGATCATTTGCTTCAAAACAAGACGTAGGAGTTTATATGATAATGTGTTGCATTAGAAAATGAAACATATCACACGATGTTGTGTATGGGTATGAATATTAAATTTGACAATCACACGCACACATATCTCACTGTATCAAATCAAACTATTTCTTTCATTGTTACATGACGTTTTGTTGATTAATTATAATGTTAAGTCTAGAAATCAATTTTTATGGTCACTTATGATGCATTAGTTATGTTTTTAGTTTTGTCTAATACTGCCTGAAACAGATGTATACAATTAAACGAGAGTATGACCGAAGAAATCGGTTCGTGAAGAATAGTATTTGTTTATTTAAGAATTATGATACAATATCGAAAATGATAAAAATAAAATGAATAACTTCTTATTCTTGGTAGAGATGGTAATAATGTTCAGCTGATCTTCAGAAAATATTTACGACTCTATGGTCAGTAAAAACCTTGCCCACATTGTTGTGGATAATAATTTGATCCTCCCTGTTGTGAATTATAGCCTGGTCCACCTGGTTGTGGGTAGTAATTTGGTCCGCCTTGTTGTGGATAATAACCTGATCCCCCTTGTTGCGGGTAATAATTTGGTCCACCTTGTTGTGGATAATACCCAGGTCCCCCTTGTTGTGGATAATAACCTGGTCCCCCTTGTTGTGGATTATAACCTGGTCCACCTGGCTGCTGATAATAATTTTGAGCGGATCCGTACTGATTTTGTTCGTAGTTAAAAGTTCCACCTGGTCCGTATTGTTCATTAGCGATATGATGTGCTTGATCAATAGCACGCCGTTTGGCCTTTTCTCGATCAAGAAAATCGAGTCCTTTCGTTTCAAAAAGTCTATCAACCTCGGCGGCAGCAAAACCTGCAAGCATTTCCTTCATCAACGGATGTGATACTTTTTCACCTGTACTACGAACATGATCTTCATAAGCTTTCATGGCTAAACAAATAAAAATTATACATCTAATTTTAGTTTTCAGCTTTCGATACAAATCTCGATTTAGTTGAATATGATATTATAGTTCTCAATGAATACTGATCAACGACATCACTCGTGTCTGGAATGCATTATCTATAAGAGTGTTCTAAGGTGAGCAGTCTACCGTCACTATAAACTTCGTAATTTAACGAAAAATGACCGCATGTAACGGTATTGTTTTAAAAATGCATTGAGAACGTTTTCCCACCTGTTTTTCATGATACTAGATGAAATGTTTAAGCTTTTTTCCATAGAAATATACATCTAAGTGTGCTAGATATATTAATTAAAAGATGAAATCAATTGCTTGAATACTCAAGTATCTGGACCTGTAACAATATCTTAATGTTGAATAGAGCGCTATTTTACTCTAATAAGTAATATATATTCCAAAAATTTCAGTAGATCACAAAAACTTATGAAAGAACATTTCATATAATATTGAAAACAGACCGCTCGCTTTAATACACTCGTATAACTAATGCAATCGAAATCTAGGTGATGTCGCTGATCAACAGTCGTTGAAAACTATATACACACAAGTTTTTAAAGTTTACAACTCTTCTTCTCGTTAAGATACCATGTAGATTAGATAGTGATAAAAGGTTTTCTTGAAACGACTATAAAAAAGAACATGAATCTAACCTGCAAAACCTGCTGCACCACCGATCAGTTCATGTGTCCATGATGCTTTATGGTGAGGTTGTTGCATATTGTCTCCATAGTTTTGATAATCGCCACCATAATTATTTTGTTGTTGATATACCTGATCATAAGCGTTTTTACTATGACCCAAACCCAAAAGATCAAGAAGAAACGCCATTTTTTAATTATAAACTTGTAAGTGTCACACCTTCTTCAAAACAGTGAATGCGTAAATGTGCGTTAGTTTTTCTTTGACAACAAATTACAAGCGAGGCCAGAAAAAAAATTCTTTCATTTATTAGTCATTGTAAAGAGCAAAAATGTCGAGTTCAACGTAAAAGTGCATTCAAAAGAAAGAAGAAAAAAATACTTCGCATTTCTTATGATGACGCTGAGATATTCATTATGTCGTCATCCTTTCCTCGCGACGACAACAGGACACCTCCACAATCCCAAAGAAAAAATATCGGAAAAAGATATGTAGAGAAAATACGGCTTTATGACGCATGAAAAAATTTCGTTGTACGTCACAAACAATACTAAAGTAAATGATTAATTCATTTTATTTTTTCTATTTTGAAAAAGACAGTTTCAACCTCAATCAGTATATATTCATCGATTTCGATAAATAATAAATTTAATGTATCCTGATCTTTTTCAATAGTCAGATATAATATTTTATTTCACAGATGTCGTTTTTGGATTGAGTAAATTTTAATATCTATCAGCTAGTTTATTTTTATGAAAATGAATTTCTATGTAATGTAAAACTACTTCCAAACAATAAAAATATGTTTCTAAGTACAGAAATCAGATGCCCGAATTTGGGTTGCAAAGACACCGAAGTATACTTATTACAACGATGAGAACCGCAGCGCCGATACCAATACCGCCACAAATATAAGCAGCATTAAGACTAATAACAGGAAGTATACGCATACGACCACCGCCAAGAATTAAGCAAAGAATAGCACTAACAATTAAAACGCCCATGAGAATAGCAACACTCGTTTCGTAATGATCACCAATACAACGACGAAAACGCGCGTGTCTAGGAGGTAGTGGTACATCTTTTGGTATAAACGTTTCTGGCGCGTCTAAACGAAAATATTGAATAGTTCTTGGTAATAAAGTTATAAATCAAATTTATTTTGCACAATGACATACTAGCCTATATTTAATCTTTTATGAATATTATTGAAAATCAGAATATCAGTGGAGATATTCTATAAGAATAATGGAAATCGCATATTTGACTGTAATGAGATGTTTGCTCAAGTTTTTAGTTTTTTCGAGTGAGCAATATATTCGAATATTAAAGAATCTGTCCTAATTAGAACGGTATGGCATCGAAGTCTTTCGAGATTGATAGAATAGTGAAAGAAAAATTGATTTTTATAGTCGAATTGGTAAGATCGTCTTTGTCACACGACAGTGTATCGGAAGAGGATTATTTTTTTTTGTTGAGCAGTTAAGTATAAAAGTAACATGATTTTAGAAACGATTTTGATCTGGCACCTTGGTCCATACTACATGTTGATTTATCGAATACAAAGTTCAATTTCATAAGTAATTAGTCAATTAAAAACATTCGTTCTTCTGTATGTTGGATTTTAATCCATCTTTTATGTAAATGATATCTTAGACCTCATCTAGAAATATTTACTTGGTACTGTTTTATAATGTCCTTGAAATGGTTGATTTTCTTCTTGATCCATAGCACTCTCAGTTTGTTATTACTTCTTTTGTTCTTAGAGTTGGTGATGCTTAGTATTGATCTGAACCAGCAGAGAATGTAACAGTTCAAATGCACATTTTGAATAACTTTTAATTTTTTCTAAAATATTATTAACACAATTACAAAGCAATTACGAATCCCTTTCAAAAGTTTTTTTTTATTCGTGTATATACACACCAGAAAAAAAGCGAAATATGGATGAAATCGAAGACAATCAAAATAAGAATACTACAGTGTTATTGATCTGCCTTCAGCACACACTATTGATGTGTAATTACAGGGTATGAATGTTGACGAAAGATCGTGCTGAAGAGCGATTAAAAGCATATTCAATATTTTTCTTTCTATCGCGGGATGAAGAAGGAGGAGTGCATACAAAGCCAATTAATGCATCAAGATTTTTCATGAGTAATCAATATAAGAGAAAGAATAATCGAATAACCACATTCTTAAGATTGCGAATTCACTTAGAAAAACCTGAAATTCTTACCCAAGATATTCTACGTCATAATGTTCTTTTCAACGTATGTAATGTGTTTACAATACGAAATGTAAAAAAAAAAAGAAAAACTATTGAAGCATAAATATTGAAGAAACGGGCAACGTGTGAAATCGTCCTTCTCCTCCTATTATTATGATGCAGAATAACATGGAAATAAATAAAAGTATATAATGACTGTAATCAGTATAGATAAAATTTATTTATCTATTTCTTTTATTAATATTTTAATAATTTTTATATATAGAACTGAAAAATATGCTTTGAATGTACTGCAAATGTTTTTGGCTGAAGTCACACAATATTTCGTAACCTCTATTAAATATAAAAGAGTAACTTTATTCAACACAGCTATTTATTTCGAATTGGCAACAGAGGAACAAAAAAAAATCTGTCAGACTAAAGCTTTTTTCAAAAACAAATCATAATTACTTTTTGTTTATGCTTGATTATATTGTTATACTGGAAAGTGCTTACATGATGATTTATAATATGAAAAAGGGGAAAGATGAAAGTGTTACAGCCGAAAGCGACAAAATAATGCTCTACATTTCAAAATAGTTATGACGATTATGCGTATATTCTTTGAAGAGTGTTGAAGCGATAAATAATAGTAAGAAACGAAAAAGAAAAACAAATTAAATATTTTTCTCTTTCTTTCCTCTTAGTTCGTCTCAACGAAAAGTAGTCACTTCAAAAAATATGATTCATCTCTATCTAGTAATGAGTATTGTTAATTTCGCTGTACATTTAAAACGTTAGTCAAAACAAATTTTACTCAATTCAGATACAACTCTCACCCTTAATTGGTCTTGTGAATGCGCTAATATCATATGTTAAGTAGAATCGTTTTTCCTCGTGAGATTTTCCGACAAAGGAGTTGTTGAACTATTTCTAATATATATCAGTTTCAAAACGCTATGTATGTTTATTATAGATGGACGATTCTTCTATGGGTGACTATACATGCTAACACATCTATGAAGCATTATAAATGCCACATAACGAACGCCTATATAGACTATAGGCATCGACTAAGATCTCTATTCATTCATAGGCTAGTCCATTCTTCTATCGACAATGTATCATTTCATTGTCGTAACAGATATATATATAATACGAGGGAATAGATGAACAACAATCAGTTCAGAGATAGCACAACATTTCTTATTACAGTATTCTCCTTAATAAAACATAAACAAAAAGAACTAGCAAACAGTAAGTTTCAAATTATTCATATGATTTATTCGAATATTTTTTTTTGAATAGAAAATGTATAAACAACTAGAATTTTTTCGTAAACATGAAATGAATGAAGTGAAAAGATTCATCAAAC